GCCTGCTTGACATCTGTTGTATTTCACGCCCCTCAACACATGCGTGCGCGCAGGCCACATTGCTTGCGCGCACGGTTGCAGGACTGCTCGAAAGCCCCGGAAAGAACGCAACGTCTGTATTCTGATCGCGAACAACAGACCTATTAAGAACAACTCGGTCTTTTGACCTTACGATCTTTGCGCCCCTCTGGCAATCGGAATTAATTCCTGTAAGAAGCGCGACGAGTCGGCCACGACGCGCAGTTCAATCCCACGCTGCTGACTCCTGACGACGTGGCTGTATCCCTGAAAATGGCATTCGCCCCATGTTCCGATGGATCTGAATTGGCCCCACTCAGCCCTGGCGGCCTTCTGGGCTTTTGGTTCCGAAAGCTGCCCCAGACTTTGTAACCGAACGTGCCGCTGCCGCATTGATCAGAACGGATTGGGGATCGACCTGTTCCCCGACTGAATCGGTGGCCGAATCGCCCCAGTCAAATGCCTGATTCGTGTTAGTGAATGAGTGGTAGCAATATTGCAGACCCATCCTTTCCATCTCCCTGCGTTGCTAACCGCGAGAAGGCGTTGACTGCAGCAGCGATCTGGGCACGCCGCGCCGCTGCACGGCGGCCGCCCGGCCCATGGCCGGGAGAGCTCGCTTCGGGGGAGGCTATTCCCAGGGTCGGTGATCATCGCAGGTTGAACCCGCAGCCCAGCCGAAGAAAATGCCTTGGCCACCTCGGCATCGCGCGATTGCCGCGGCAGGCTCAGCCTGCTTTAAGTGCGCTCATATAATTGTTGCTCTGCTTTCCGCGCAGCGTGTTCCTCTTTGTCGCGCCGCGGCACCTGGTCGGAAGTTAATTTCCCGCGCAGTCGGTGACGGGGGGGGTCATTCTGATGACCTCAGCATCTGCCTCTGGAGATAGCGCGGCGCACCATTCTCCGCCGTTGCTCTAGGGCCCCTGGGCGAACTCCTGGCACCTCGGTGGCCCCGGGGCAGTAGATCTGTCTCTTCTTCCCCCACCGTTGCCCTCGTCATTTTCGCCCCACTTGGGCTTCGCAGCGGGCCGAACTGGTCGCGGCGCTGCAGCTGCCGCGGGCTTCTCGCGGCTAAATGGGCACCCTGGCCGCTTCTTCGGGCGTCGACCTTCCCGCAGGACGCGCGCGCGACTTCTTTCTTCGCCCGTCCAGATCTCATCTTGTCCGCGGGCCCCCCCATATGCAGTCTTCGAGTCGACTGGGCCTGCAGCGGCATTCTCATCTCCGCATTGACCCCTTCGACTGGGAGTCCTCATTCGACATTCAAGATTCCATTCGCTTTTCCATTCGCAAATGCCGCTAGACATCGCTCGCGAGCCCCGGCGCCCGCGCCTGCCCAGGCGCCGCTCATCTCGTAGAGGGTGATCGAGCATTTCATCTTCGAAACTGTATAAATACGTTCACAGCAGCGTGCGCGGTTCGCCGCTGCCACTTCTGCGGGGGGGGGGGGGGGGGGGGGGGGGGGGCAGGGCCCCAGTGCAGGTCGCGACGCAAAGCCATCCATTCACTGTAGAGGTGATGCAGTTCCTGGCCTGGCTCGTTCATGCGAACGAGGATCGCGAACAAATCTCGCGCCGCCACGTTTCTGCCGCGCTGGGCGCGAGCGGAGTTCCGTCGACAGAACGAACGCGCCATCTCTCGTCCCGCACGCCGACGGGGCCCATTATGTGCGCCATATTCCACGCGCGAGATCTGCGCGATGAGATGAGTCCGTCGAAGTGGAAGATCCCCCCCTGTTCAGTTAAGACAATTTCTCGACGAAGCCCGAAGCGATCTCCGCGTTAAGTCGCTCGCGCGCCCCCCATTGCGCTAACGCTTCGGATCTATCGGGAACCAATGATCGGTTGATCCGACGCATTGCCCCCGGCGCGCCGGGGCCGAGGCAATTGATGCCACCCTCGTCGCAGGTAGCTCTGAAGCCCGCTCGCGTCGGGACTTGGAACCAATATGATCTCTACCGGTTTCCCGACGTGTTCCGATAATCGAGGGAATCAGCAAAAAGCCCGCGATCCACTTTGTCGCCGCGTCCTCCGCCATCGCCACCGCCGCCGCGAGGCCCCCTCCGCTGCCGCCTCCACCTCCGGCTGAGCCGTCGGCAAGAGGCGATGGGTCAGGTGGCCCCGCGGGGGCATCAGGCGCGCCCGGCGCAAAGTTTTTCGGGCGGCTTGAAAAATCGGGAAACGTCGGCAATTCGCGAAAGTGTTGTTCGCACTGTGCTTAGGAACTCCAATCAAAATCTCAAGTCAGAGAGTCTTGAGTCATTTTCAGTCGCCTCAGGTTGCCTGGCCCACTCGAGCTCTTCTCGCTCTCAACGTACGCTTATGGGAACAACTTTTTGTTATTTGATGAGATTAGGCGAGCGCGTCTGTTCTTCCCGCTGCCGAGAAACCCAGCGTTCTTCCCCCTGGCGCTTTCGGGCAACATCCTCTTCGGCTTCCGACCTGCCCCGGACGCAACGCTCGCGTCGTTTTGCCATGGAATCACTGTGAGCATACCAGCGCGGAGTGGAAAAGTGGGCGCAAGTCAGCGTCTTTGAACGTTGGCGCAAGTGGCGCTTTTGCGCACCTCCAGAGGCCACATCAGAACGCAATCGCGGCTTCCTCTCCGAGGCATGATCAGTGGAGCTTCTCGGCATCGGGGGCCGAGCCCCGACGGCGAGTCCGCTCGACCCGCCAATCCCCGAAGAGCACGCGCATGTTTGCACCTTCGCGGCAAGTGGAATCATACTAGAATCGCCCTGCGTTGCGGATTGGATCCGCGGCGCGGAACACATAGCCCCACAGCTTTGCTCGCGTGTGTCCGAGCCGCCCGGAGAAAATCAAGTCATTGCGCGCTTCTCTCTGCGCTGCAGAGTCCTCAACTGCATTCATCTGCATTCTCGCTTTCATCTGCATTGCTTTGAAACATCTGCAGTCCTCCTTTCAACTGTATTCTCGCTTTCATCTGCAGTCCTCCGAAACATGTTGAATCCCGCTTTCATCTGCATTGCTTTGAACGCTCACTTGATTACAACTGACATTTCTTCTTATGTGTACAATTAGCCAGGGCAGCTGCTTGTGCCTCCCTGGTATGTACTGCATCCTCCGCCGATCGGTGAACACCCCTTGTCTCTATCTCCGCCTTTTGCAGAAGTTGATGCACGTGTGCTTCCTTCACTGCCATTTCCCTTGCTTCTTGGTTTCCTCTCTACCACCTTCTGCTCCCCTAGCTCTTCCCATTCCATAGTTTGCCTTTTCAGCTTCCATCAAACGCAGCTGAGCTGCTTCCGATGCTGCCTGCTGGCTTGCATGAGCCTGTTGCGTGCCATGCAGGAGAAGCTCCTCCACGCTGCGAATCATCTACATGTGTTCGTATTTCCGTCTTTCAACCATGCGAGCTTGCGCAGCCAACTCGTTGCGAAATCTCGCTTCGCTGGCCGATTATATTATGTCTCCGGATGGCGAAACATGTAACATGTGCTCTCATGTCTACGCAGCCGGAACAACACCACTTGATATTCCAACGCCGGCGCGCTCATGAACAACTTCCGCAGACTGGCCGGTGGTCGGGGCCCTGCATGTTATGTGCCTTCCCAGGGCATGCGTTGTCAACTGGTGGGTGGCATCGATGTTTTCTGGCCCAACAACCCACGTTCAACGAAAGGCCGCCGGAAGAAAATCCACAGGATCCTTGGCTGCTCCTCGATCTGGTACACTATGGATGCTAATGGCGATGTTGACACGGATCTTTTGACGACGCTACGCGACGGCGACATTGGAATCGGGGCTGTTACTGGGATTGCATGCGTAGCTGGGCACAGTTGATCTTCAATCGGGCTCCCTGCCGAACTAGAAGTCTGCATTAGGGAATCAGGCTCCACGCTGACATCCTCAGGCGCCTGAGGGCGCTTTGCCTCAGGGGTCTCTTCCGCGCTGTTCCTCGCGTGATCTGTCTGAGATACGATCAGAACCCCCATTGTCTTCGATGGACGAACTGTCAGACTTGATATCTTCGTTTTCCACGATGGTTGTGCATTCATGAGTCAAGTGAACCCCCCCACACTGGTCGAACCAGCGCCGATTCGCATTTTTCCACCGGAACAAGAGATGTCATCAGGTAGCAAAATAAACGGAACACGCGGCATGATACGACGTACTGCATCAGTGGGCGGGATATTCGGAGGATGTTGTGCAGTCCCTGATGGAACAAGCATGTTGAAGTCACTGCTTGCAATATTTTGCATGCCCGGTGCATCATTCGAGTTTTCGTCTGGTCACCAACCACTCGCCTGAAGCATACGATTTCCGGCAAAACAGACATGCAATGGTGATGTTAATGTATCGGTATCATCGCTCATTATGGGTCTAGCAGACACGCTTCTCGATATCCAAGAACCCGTTGAGCTGATCTGGCAGGGTGAAGGAGCTCAGGAGGGAGCGACGACAATACCAAGACCCAAACAGCTTCCTTTTCCCACGCGCGCGGGACACGCTGCTGGCACGAATCTCGTGCCCTATCCTTACAAACAATTGCAGAGCAACATCACGTCACAGGAAAGCACGGCGGCGGCGGCAGGGAGCGGGCGGGGAGCGTAGGGTAACAATCATACAGGGGAGACATCAATTTTCGGAGGCCCGCGCGGACTTCTTGCATCGGCGCCGGACTCAGGGGCGGCGCCGGCAGCGCCGACAGAGGGGCCCAGCGCCGATCCAAGGAATCTGGCCTCGCAGGCCTCCGAAACTTTGCGTGTATGCCGTTTGTGTTCGCGTCGATCTTCGCCACGGGGCCCCCCTGATCCTCGTCGTCTTGAAAAAAAAACAGCCCATGTTTTGTTGTTTCGTATTTTCCGATACGGGGTCAACGAAAGTCCTGGCTCTTCTCCCAAGGCCAGTTTTCTGGCAATGTTCCACCTCCGAGGCCCGGCGAGGACCCCCGGAGGTGGAAAACTGATAGAAAACCGCCCGTAGTGCTTTTGGTTCGCGACTCCACCATGTCGGGGGATCCTCTTCGCCAGAGCCGAGGCCCCCGTCGACTTCCAGCGACTGCTCGAGCCGCCCTTCGTCCAGTCGCACGCCCTCCAGCTGCCCGTCGATGAGCGCCACCGCGACGCAAATCGAGGCCAGCAAAATGACCTATAGAGGAACACGGCGCGACAAATAACATGAACCTTCGGAGTTCAGCGTGGACTTCTCGGATCGGCGTTCCTCGTCCTCCTCCCTCTCTTCCCTCTCCTCTCCCTTTTCCTATCTTTCTTTTCCCTCTGCCCCCCCCTTCCCTCCCCCCACCCCTTCCCCCACCACTCCTGCCTTTCTCCCTCGCCACGCTCATGGCCGTGGCCACCTCGGTCATCGAGGAATAATAAACGGCGCTCCGCGCGGGTCAACAGAAATTGGGGGCAACTAACTTCGCGCGTCGCGCTTCGAGTTCCGCGAATAGCTTCGCGCTTTCGCGCCGCCCCCCCCCATCCCCGCGACAGGACAAGCAACTCGCAAAGCGCGAATCACTTATCACCCTCGTGGTGGGCCTAGCAGAAACTTTCGAAACTTCGCGCGCGGATTTTGCGGATCGACGCTGGACCCCCCCTCCGGGTGCGAGGTTGCCCGCCTGGGGCGGCGCTCGAGGCACCGCTGGCTAGCCCCCGCGCCGCCCAAACGTGGATCCTGATGCCAGCAGCGTCAGCGTCGGGGAAGGGGGGAAGGGCACGAGGAGGGCGGGAGGGGAAATGAAAAGGAGCGGCACGAGGGGGAGGAGCGGCGCGAGGGGGAGGAGCGGCACGAGGGGGAGGAGGAGGAGGAGGAGGAGGAGGAGGAGGAGGTGGAGGAGGAGGAGGAGGAGGAGGAAAAGGATCGCACGCCACTGGGGGCAGAGAGAGAGAGAGAACAACAACAAACAAAACCCGGCAGCCCGAACAAAAACCCAAAGGGGGTCACATCCGAGTGGATCTTGTACAGCGCCTGGCAGGGAGGCCGGAGACCTGCTAGGGCCCGCGACAAGGCCCCCATGTGGAGGACACCCAACCGTCTGAATTGTTCTCGAGCGCCCGGCCTTCAGATCGCTCTAGCCGTTCTCCCGAGGTCTGCGCTTGGAGCTCATTTAGCCCAAAGGCTCGGAGACAATCGGCGGGACAGACAACAGCAGGAGGGCCAACATTGGGCCCAGCATTGGCTCCTCTCGGCTGGGACCCTGAAGCTGCCAGAACCCCCCCGACCAGCTCTCGCGCCGCCCCATCCCCAGGAGTCCTCCAGGGGCCCAACTCGAGAGGTCTGTTCGGGTGCTTGCCTTTAAGAACCGCTCTTGAGTTCTTCCTGCCAGGATGCACTAGGGCATGCTGGGCACCAATACGAGCGTTGCGGAGCCCTCTGGAGCCCTGCGAGGCAGTAGCATAGCCTCCACAGGTTGAGCAAAAAAAGATCGGCGGCTGGTCATCTGCCGCCACGTCAAACTCGAGCAACATGTGCCCATGGGCCGCCCACGGGATCTGCTCATGATCTCTGGCCACCGAGGCCAACTCTGGACTCAGAGGCTCGCAGCTGGCGCCCGAGGCGGAGGGGCACACAGGAGGGGGAGCAGGATCACCACCCCAACCCTCCCTCCGCCCCACCTCCTCCATGGCCTCCTCGAGCTCAGCATCGCCTTCCAGCGAAGCTTTGGTGAGCCCATGCGCCCCAATATTGTCAAATCTGCCTAGGTCCGCGCAGTGAGCCTCAGCTCGGCGAGCGACATTCAGCACAGGCCGCGCCAAGACCAGCATCCCTCGCGCCAGGAGCCCCACGGCAAGCTCTCGTCTTGCCCGTCCGGCCCCTTGCCTGGCCAGACGGTGGCAAACAAGGTGACGCGCCCTTCTCGGAGATCCGACATGTGTGTACGAGAAGCAACGGTTCTGAAACTTAACTCCTCGTGGTACTCCCTCCTCGAAAGCACGGCGCCACACATGAGCCCGAATATCGGACGAGCGAGTGGCGAACGCGGGGGGCCAACAACATTGGAGCGTGCCTCCACAATCAGAGTAAACAGTGAAAGAGCCTATGATGTGTCGCAATGCCACCTGAACAGCGAAGTCCTCTACGTCTCTGGCCATATGGTCGGGTCCTTCGGTCGGGGGGGCAGCTCCATGCCACCCACCATGGTAGCGGACTTCTTTGTCGTAAATCGCGGCCCTCCAACCCGCAACCCGAAAGGACGGAAGCAAACCATCCATACCCGACCCGTCACAAAAAAATGCCCTCATCAATGGCCAGGGGCGCCCCTTGCCCTTCGACCCGAAACTACCACGCTGGGCCCCATATGGGTCTGGCAAAGCCTTGGCATGGGTCTGGGAGGATGCCTCGCGCAAATTTCTCATGTAGGTCTACGGGGCAACTCGACAGCCTAGCTACTGGCCGCTCCAATTCATGAGGCAGGAAATCCCGTCGCCGCGCCAGACCCGCTAGGCATCCGAAGTGACGATGGAACAGCGTGTCCTATTCCTTCCCGCAGAGGAAGCCGTGGCTGGGCAGCATCGGGTCGTGCTCGTGCAAACGATGTTGAGACCAGTGCGAGCCTGTGGCCAGACCCCAAAGCACACGCTGCTCCCTCGCACCCCGCGTCCCGTCCGACACCCCCTCGTCCTCTTGGTCATGGCGTGCATGCAGAAATTAATTCAGCGTCCGGCAGCAAATCGGGCCTCCCCGACCCTTGCCTTGACCAATCTTGGCCAAGACTTCGAGATCCAAAAGCCTGCCCGCCGCAAACTGTGCCCTGCGCGCCACGAAAGCTGGGCAGACCCTGCGAAGGCCACACTGCTCCTCAGTGGCTTCGCGGCGGTTCCCCGGATCGTCAAAAACGAGGCCTGCACGGGCGCGCGTGAGGACGAGGGCCGCAACAGGATCCTTGACCTTCGCCCAGGCAGCGGCAACCTGAAGGAGGCCCTTGCCTCGCTCAAATAGCCACTCGAGCACTACAGGGCTGAGGCGCTGATCCTGCAATACTTGGCAAAACGTTCGGAGAGCGTCCGAAGTGACCAGCACTAAAAGGTCCCAGGACCACCCACCTCTGGAGCACATGGAGGCCAAGGCGGCCAACTCAAACGAGCATCCCTTCGGGAGGCGGCCTTCTGCGCGCAGCGCCGGGATTCGGAGCCTGTGTGTACTGGCACCCCACAGGGCCTTCGAGGTAACCCCAGCCCTGAAAACATCACCACATGGGGCTCCTGCCTGCCTTGAGGCAAGGACCTTATTAACTGTTTGCTGTGCCTTACAGTAACGCTCATGCTGCGTGCTGACCCTTCTGCGGGCCCCATCAGTCGCGTCCCATCCAAGGTCGCAATGAACTTGACAGTGCGCTGACCCTGGCAGGCTGCATCTCTTAAGTAAGACTTTGGTGAGAGCAGGCGATGATGAGAGGAACCCAAGCTTGTTCTGGGCTACTGGAAGGCTCATGCGCTTGACATCCCCCATGACGGAGCACAAAGAACGGGTGAGCTCTCGGCCAATGACTTCGGCACCGACCACCGCATGCAACGACACATCACCAATAACAGTATGGATGCAATATGTGGGGGAGCCAACCGCCGCCCTGCGCAAGACGCTTAGCAGCAACAACCTCGCGAGGGTTGTAGCTCCTGAACGGCCAGCGATGACTGTGCAGTTTGGCTCTATCACCATGCTGATAGCCCCCTGCCACGAAACACGGCGCGGACCGCGATACATGCAGCATCATGCTCGCAACAGCGCACGGGGAAAGTCGCTCGCCCTCGCCGCCTGGAGCAGCTCATACTGCGAGATATGTTCGTGGAACTTCCGAAGGTCAATGAACAACGTGCCTGTGCTGAGGCCTGGCACCACCCTAGCGTAGGAGGCCAACGCATTGTGCACCCATATGCACTCTTGTCACAAGCCGTGCCCGCCCCAGAAAAACTTGCAAACTACCTCGCGCGCCCAGTCGGCGCAGAGTCGGTGGCGAATTCTGCTCCACACGCGGGCCCACAGAGGAAGAAAGCCTATGGGCCTCACCCCTCCCGTGGGTTTGTCCAAAAACACCGCCAAGACAAGCCAAAGAGGGAGTATCACAGGATCCCTCTCCCAAGCCGTGAGGATGGCTGCAAAGGCCTCCACCAAGGGCCTGGGGAGTTGCAACAAAAGCCGAGGGCTGAACGCGTCCCATTCGAGCACCGTGGAAATGCTAAAAGACGCAGCAGCCTCCAAGACTTGGTCCGCAGCAGGATGAGGATGAGGATAAGGATGAGGATGAGGAGGAGGAGGAGGAGCGAGGATGAAGGTGAGGAGGAGCAGAATGAGGATGAGGAGGCGGAGGAGGCGGGGGAGGACCGAGGTGGCCACGGCCAGGAGCGTGGCGAGGCGCCTCTGCGTGTCCGCCCTGCGGGTCAGGCGGTGGTGCAACCGCCAGCCCTGCAGCACCAGTCCGCGGTGTGCTGGGCTCGCCTCCTTGGCGCTCCTGAGGGGCCACGTCAGGGGCGCCTCCTCCTCCTCCTCCTCCTCCTCCTGCTCCTCTTGCTCCTCCTCCGCCTCCGCCTCCTGCTCCTCCTGTGACCTGGGATCTGGTTGCGGTAGAGTTGCTCAGACGCAGCCATCTCCCCCCCCCCACCCCCACCAGGCTGTTGCCCCTTGGGGGGGGTATCAAAAAGGAACGACCAAGTGCGGGGGAGGGGCGGGGTAGGCATGTCCCCCAACGCCCCGGGTGGAGGAGAGAGGAGAGAGAGCGACGAGACAGCGGGGACGACCCTGCGACTAACCAGTGAGAAAGGGGCAGGGAAAAGGGAGAGGAGGAGGCGGAGGAGGAGGAGGAGCAGGATGAGGAGGACGAGGAGAACGAGAACGACGAGGAGGGGGAGGTTGACGGTAGGGCAGCTGTGGCTGTAACGCTGGCGCGGTGCCGTGGCCATCCCACGCCAAGGTGGGCCCCTCCCCACCAAGGGGATCCTCACCAAGGGGATCCTCCATCCCCACCAAAAAGACCAGGGGGATCCGCATCACCACCAAGAGGATCCTCATCCCCACCAAGGGGATCCCCACCAAGGAAACCCCATGTAGACGACCCCCGTCCCCACCAAGGGGGTCCTTACCCGCGAAGCGGGCGAAGGGTTCACGAGGACGGAAACGAAGGTCGCCCACGAGGCTCTACCGGGTACAAAGAAGTTTGCGCTTTCCTGTGGCAGCGGCCACGCTTGTCGTATGCTTCCGCTCCACCCCGATAACCCCCCTACCCACCACGATAATCTCTTCGGTGCGAGCTTGGTCTGAGGCACCAGACTTGACAAGCGCAACTGGCGGTTGGCGCCTAATATAATAACGAAGTGACATCCGACAGAGTGGCGACGCAAAAGTGGCGCAGAGTTGGATAGGCTCTGGAAGAGTAGCGGTTGCGAACCTCCATGCTGCGCACATGCTTAGCGCAAGTATAATGTGCGCGGCGTGAGAAGCAATTCAGGCAACAATGGCTTGCGGGGCGGTCTGGCAGATGAATGCTGCGCCGCGGCTGTATGGCTGCGAGCTGTGCGCGGCTGGTTCAGGAGCCCAGTTCGATCGGCAGACCATGGCTCTGTGCCGCGGTGGCCTTGGCCGATGCCAGGACGGCCGCCGGGCGTTTCATTCGTTACCCATCTGGGGAAACCAAAGGTACCCATACCGCTATTCCTGGGACCTCTCCCAGGGTGCGTTCTCACCAGGATTTCGACGCGAATCCAGCGGTGGCGACGACAGCCTCCCATGAGACCCCAAAAAGGGAGAACGAGGGAAAAATAGCCGTATGGGTACCTTTTCTTCCTCTGACATTCCCGCCCTAAGCCATGCGACCCACCCCCCTCCAGATTAGCGGCAGAAGGGCGCGGTATAGCAGGAGCTCGACCACAATGAACCTTCCACGAGAAACCCAGCCCTGAGACCTCAGAACGTCCATTGATTTTTGGTGTGGGAGCGTCACGCGTTCCATCGCAAAACTATCAAAACCTTCGAAACCGAGGGCACCATGGAGGCAACCAGGGTGTTTTTTGACATGGGTTTCCGCTGTGTGCAGGCCGGGAGAGCCGCCGTTGTCCCATGCCATGAGGACCAAGGTTAGGGGGTAGCAGCGCATGGGGGGGGGAATCGAGCTTGGATCTGCGAGGAATCGTTGATACGATGTGCCGCCGATAGCAGATCCGCAGGTGCTTGGGCGGGGTGGGCAACTGGGCCTCTATCTCGGGGGCGCGCAAACGTGGATGAGCGATCCATGGATTTGGCGCGAGGTCGCCACATCCATGGATCGGGAAGGTGCCCCCCCAAAAAAGCGGCCGGTGCCGCTTCGTTCGGCCGCGATCTCCCACGGAAACGGGACCCGTCGCTAACCCACGCCCCCTTGATCCATGTTTGCGATCGCCTGATCTGCGATGAGTGGGCCAGGGGGGGTCGATGCGTCGTCTCCCCCCGATGAGTCTGTCCCCCGCTAGCGTTGCCCCTGAGGGCCCCCGCGGCGCTCATGCTGCTGCAGAGCATGGAGGTCACGCAGCAGATGGCGTCCTCAGGCGAGTCCTCTTGGAGCGGACGTGGAAGAAAAAAAATCACAGATAATCGTATATCAATAGAAACGAATAGTGATAATAAGAGGACTAAGAATCAGAAGAGGAAGAGGGAAAAGACAGGGCATAAACATTAACGATCGCAAGCCCGCGCCGATTTCTTGGATCGGTACTTCGCTCCCTGGCGCAATCCGCGCGCAAGGGAGGGAGGCCCATGACCGATCCAAGAAATCCATGCGGACCTCTGAAGATGTATGTTTATGTTGCGCTTCTTCTTCGAAAGCGACAAGCAGACATATGCGACGATACGATTGTTTTCTCACTGTCGGACTCTGGGGCCAATCGTCGGGCCCTGGCCACAACAAATAACTAATCTGGAGCGAACAGGCCCCTGGGAGGGGGTCGAGATCTCCGGAAACGCGGAATGCAAACGAATCAAAGCGGCCGAGGTCAGGGAGGGGTATAGCAAACGAGGGATGGCGAACCAGCCCGCCTTCGGGACCGCACGTTGATGTTCAGACGTCTGTGGATAAATGTATCATTTACACACATACATATACAAACGCTGGCAATCTACGCGGTGCAATCTATATGGCGCAGCGTATGTGGAACAATCTATGTTACGAAATGTGCACAGTGCGAATAGATGCGGCGCAACATGGGTGGTGTAACCTATGTGGTGCGATCGTTATTTTGTAACAGATGTGGTGCGATCCATGTGTTGCAGCGTATGGCGCTGCAAACGTCTGTGGTGCAATGTATGTGGTGCGATATACGCGATGCCGCATACGTATGAATGCATATTTACACACATATCTATATCTATATATATATAGATATGCGGTGCAATTTCCGGCGCAACCAATGTGGCACAATCCATGCGAGGCGGCGATCTACGATGTGCAATCAATGTGGTGCGACATACATTGTGCACACCCTGTGGTTCAATCCGCGTAATGCAATCTACATGGCGCAACATATGTTGTGCAAACCATGTGGTGCAATATTTGCGGTGCAATCAAAGTCTTGCAAACTACGCGGTACAACTCATCCTGCTGTACTTGAAATTGTCACCTCCACTGCTCCCTCAATCACCCCACCCATCCACCCGCAACCTGGTCTGCAAAAACAATGCGGTGGCGATTGCGATGACTGCTGGGCGCCGGCTGGCGCATCGGTGCGGCCGCACTAACGCGCAGGTTCGCGCGCAGAGCGGCCAGCTAATTTGGCGCGGCGGGCGCGGCCGCGGTGGCGCTGACCGCTGGGAGCTTCTCAGCAAATGCCGCATGCTGCGCTGCCGCGCGGGCACTTTGGTGCGAATCGGTGACTCGGGCGGGCGGGCTGTCATGGCGATATCGGCAAAGGCAGACACGACGATGGCAGTACCGACGCTTGTGACGACGATGACGATGACAGCGGCAAGGCCAATGATGGCGCCAGAGATGCTGATCACACAGGTGACGATGATGGCGTCCACGTGTCGGTGATGAAGGTTTTTCAAGGATTTTGACATGTGCGCGCGGCAGACGCGCGCGCGAGTGACCCGCATGGAATTCCTTGACAGGAATCGCGTCCCGCACACCCCCCGCACGCGCGCAAAGCAGTTCGAATGATTGCGACATGCGGGCGCGCGAAGCCCGTTTGGATGGACTAGATTCTATTACGGTTTTAAAAATATTTTTCTTTGTTGGGGGAGAATGAGCAAGAGCGCGCAAATGTTTACCTTTTGTGGGAAAGAAAGTGCGAATATATGTTTGAACTATGTTTCGGGAAACTCAAGTTAGACATCCTTACGAAACCATTCAGAAGTGTTTGAAGGATGTCGTCGTGCGCGCGCGACGACCCGCGTGTTTGCATATCGTCACATATGTTGCAAACTATGTTAAAACCGGATGATTTTTGATAAACGAATATGCGCGAATCCATTTTTTGACGAAAATACGGGGATGGTGTCGATACTGGCTTGGCTGGGATGGTATGGATTCGTTTTCAGAACACACGATGGGGCAAACTCGTATGTACATTGCGCATCCCCAGGGGGAGAATCAGTCTGGGTTGAGGAGGGCGGTGGATTCTATACCCTTTTTGGAACGGAGAATCCACACATGGCAATCAATCACTTGCTCAATTTGAAGCTGTCCTCTCCACTGCTCGTGCAAACATCCCACCCTCCCACCCGCAACTTGGTCGCAAGACCTCTTATGACCGTGACGGTGGGTACCAAGTGGCACTTGGCAACGACCCCGACGCCGACGACGACAGCGATAACGACGACGAAGATGCCGCCGACAACGACTACGACGACACCGACGACGTCTCCAACGGCTTCGACGACGACGACAACGACGACGACGACACCGACGACGACGCCGACGCCGACGACGACGGTGACAACGACGACGACGACGCCGACGCCGACGCCGACGACGCCGACGACGCTGACGACGACGACGACGACGCTGACGACGACGACGACGTCGCCAACGAAGACGACGACGACCAGGGAGGAGGGAGGACGACGACGGCGGAAACGACGACAACGACGAGGGAGGAGGGAGGACGGCGACGACGCGAACGACGAAGAAGGAGGGAGGACGGCGACGCCGACGACGACAACGACGAGGGAGGAGGGAAGACGACGACGACGACGACGGCGACGAAATAGGAGGGACAACGACGAAACGCTGACGAAGACGACGAGGGAGGAAGGACGACCACGGAGACAACCACGACGGACACGACCACGACGCCAAGACGACGACGACGAGGAAAGACAGAGGACGACGACGGCGACGACGACGACGACGAGGGAGGAGGGAGGACGGCGACGACGACGACGACGCAAGAGCGCGCGCGCACGCTTTTGTTGAAAATCCGTGTTGCGAAACCGTGTGTTCTTTTATATGTGTTGGACACTCGATTTCGAAATCCTTCCGAAACCTGAGGTTTTTGAAGGATGTCGGCATGCGCGCGCGACGACGGGCGGGTGCGAAACTTCGTCTGATTTGTTGCAGAGGATTCTCGTGACGGCACGCGCGCAAGGGCGTTCGAAAAATTTCGACATGCGCACGCGCCCAGCCCGTTTGGTAGTATTTCTTGAAACTGTTGAAACACCGATGCTTTTCTTAGCAAATCAGTTTTGCGAACCCGTGTGTTTGTATGTTTTCTTGGAAACTCGATTTCGAAATCCTTCCGAAATCGACGATTTTTGATGGATATCGGCATGCGCGCGCGACGACGCGCGCGCGCGTGCACTTCGGCCCATTTGTTTTCAGGGATTCTTGAAAACTTAGGATTTGTGATAAACGAATGTGCGCGCATAGTATTTGTTGCAAAATGGCGTGGGGGAGTTATACCGGCCTGGCTGGGATAGTATAAGTTCACAGGTCGGATGGACGAGCGTGCAGAATAAATATGAAGTCGCAACAACCCAGGGGGGAAGAGTCTCTTCTTCTCTTAGAATTGAGAATATACGCGGTGCAATGAACTTCTGCCCGCAAGGAGTTGTCAACTCCACTGCTCGCGTAAATTCTCCACCCACCTATCCATCCGTGGTTTACAGAACCTACGCGGCGGCGAGTGCGATGACTGCTTGGCGCTTGCTTGCGCCTCACCGCGGCCGCGCTGGCACGCGCAAGCTTGCGCGTAGAGCGGCCAGCAGGTCTGGCGCCACCGATGCGGTCGCGCTGGCGATGACAGCAGGGCAAGTCCCAGCGCGTCTCACAGGCCGCGCTGACGCGCGGGCGCTTCAGTACGAGATGGTGAACTGGGCGGCCGCGGTATCATGGCGACGTCCACGACGGCTGACACGATAATGATACTAACGATGCTGGTGGCGACGATAACGATGATGGCGGCAAGGCCAATGACGGCGCCGATGCTGATCGCGCCTTTGACGGTGATGGTGCTCACGTGTCGATGAATGTTTTGGGAGGATTTCGACATGCGCGCGCGGCCGACGGGCGCGAATGACCCGAATTGTGTTATTTGAATGGAACCGGGCCCCCCAGCACGCGCGCAAGAGCGTTCGCATGATTTCGACATGCGCGCGCGGGAGGCCCGTTTGGTCGCATGTGGTAACATGTTGTCACATGCAGGGTTGTCTCAAGAATTCGCCAGAGCGTGCGCGCACATCTTTCTCTGACAACCCACGGTGCACAACTGAATTTTCGAATGTTTACGGGACACCCAATCTTGAACTCCTTGGGGGGGAGCCGGTTTGGCTGGGATGGTGCAAACTCATATTTCGAATGAGCGATGGGGCTCGATCGTATGTCAACTGCTCATCCCCAGGGGGTACGGATAACCTAAGGGGGGGTGATCCTACTTTCTTGTTGGAAAGGAGACTCTATGCGAAGCGACGAAAGGCTGCGAGGAGGCGGCGACAGCGACTTCATAACCGCAAGACCGACCGTCAGGCCCGGACGACGGGCGTCGACAGCGACTACACAGCTGCCAGACCGACAGTCAGGCCCTTTTACTGAGAACAGAAATATTACAAAAACATCCATAGCACTGTTTGGATAATCTGCGCAGTTCAACACGAATGGTTCAACGAACGTCCGCCACTGTGCCGCTGGGCGCGGGTTGGGCGTTTCCGCATGCCCGTCTGCCCAATCTTCTAAGCCTCAATCCTCACTCCTGACGAGTCTTTGAAGGACCCGAATCCCAAATTGCCAAATCAATCGGGGCGTGTCGTGGTTCCCGGAGGCTTGTCGCATGGCTTTTTGGGGCCCAAAGAGGGCTCCAAAAGTGGCCAAGGAAGCCCAAAGAGACCCCCAAGATGGTCAAATAGTGTTTCGAAGTGGACGAAAGATCCGCCCCCAAAGGCTTCCAAGAGGCCTCCCAAGAGGCTCCAATCATTGTTGTTCGTTAGATGCTTGAAAGATGTTGGCCTTCTCGCCATTTCGGCTTCCATGGGCTCGAAGACGGCCCGCAAGGCCCCCAAGCTCGCCCCAAGACGGCCCCCGAGGCCCCCAAGACGGCCCAAGCGGCGCTGAAGACGGCCCAAGAGGGCCAACAAAAAGACTGCCCCAAGCAGGGCCCCAGCTGGGGAACCCGAACGGACAGTTCGAACCCTCGGCCACGAAGGGCCCTCAGGAGGCGCAAAGAGGCCCCCAAGAGGCCCCAAGAGGCCCCCAAGAGGCTCCCTGGAAGCCCCCAAACTGCCCCCAAGAGGCCCCCGAGAGCGCTGCGAAGAGACCCGAAGAAGCATCCTTGAGAACTCTGACCCACAGCCCAGCCAGGTACGATGGTGGGATGGACCGAAGACCCACAGATACATACACCAACGTATATCAAGGATTGCGGGCCACCGCCCGAGACGTAATGTACACGTGAACGAATCTTGGTGAGCGTGCCCACCCCGAACCGGGCCCACTGCACCGTGCGCGGCGGCGGCGGCTGCGAGAACAGCTTCATCAATCCTGGCCATGTTCCGGTCCCCGGCACGAGCTGGTTCTCCGGGCGCCTGCTTGCGCCGGGAGGCGCCCGCGTGAGCGACGAAAAGAAACGGGGTCTCACGCTCGACTACAAAGCGACCTTACGCGGTGGCTTGCGCGGGCCACCAGCGCGGCACGCTGCATCGGAGACGAGGGCGCTCACGCGTGACCTCACGCCTGAAGCTTACGCGCGAATGTCGGCGCAATTGCGCGCCGCTTTTTGCGGCGCGCAACGGGGGGCAGGGGGAGGGGGGAGGGCTTCTCAGAGAGAATATGCTTCTTAGAAGGCGCCGGCCTTGCATCTGTAGATAAGGCCCACACCTTCTAAGACGTAGGGGTGCTTCTGAGAAGTCTTCCCCCCTCTCCCTACCCCCCTTCTGCGCGTCGCCGACGAACATGTCGAGGAGCGCACCTGACGGAGGGGACGATGCATGCAGCAGCGGTCGCATCCCCGACGTCGTAATCTGTGGATCCCCAGAAGACTGGACCCCTTCCTGAGGATCGAAACTTCATCCTGAGTCGTTTTGTTTTCAGTCCCGAGGCCCAATCATTAAGGGCCCCCAGAGGCCGAAAATAGCGACAAACCGTCCGTCGTTCTTTCTTTCACGACGCGAGGGGTTCTGTTTTCCCTGCTCCCCCCCCCCTCGTCCCGACCCGATCCTCCAAGGGATTCAGGACCTGCACCGCCTCCTTGAATGTCTGCGGCCTGGACTTTGCCGTCTCCAGCACGAACACCACGTCGCCGAGCGTGAGCCGGCTCCGCTGTTCCATGGCCACGGTGCTGAACATGGTGTCAATGTAGTCCTATAGGGCAGAAGAGCCACTCTCAGAATAAGCACCACATCAGAAAAGGATCGAACAGCAAGGCTGTTTGGTAAACGCCATAGGCCGCTTAGTAAACGCCACTTGTGGGGACTGGGATAGGTTATTCCTCCCTTGAGATCCAGCACCCGGCTCGGCGACAGGGCCTGCAGGATCGACATTCCGTCGGTCAGCGGGGGCAGCATGTCCCACATATCGGATGATCCGCCACAGTGTCCCCTGGCACGTCTGGGCGTGGAAGAATGCTAAGTGCTTTCTGGCAGGGTTTGTGTCATCTGCCAAGGGCCCAAGAGCACCCTCAGACGGCTCGAGGAGCACCCGAGACGCTGCCAAGAGGCCCCCAAGAGGCACCCAACAGGCCCCCAAGATGCACCCTACAGGCCTCCAGGGCCCCCAAGAGGGCCCGAGGCAGCACACGTGACGGCTTCCCGTGCCTTCTCGAATATTCGCCGCCCAGAATGATGCGCTGGCACGGTTGCGGAATTGCCGGAGGCAGCTGGATATCAACGCCCTGAACTCTTTCTTCGCGACGCTGTCCAGGACCCTCCGGATGAGGCTCACCAGGGAGCCCCACTGCTTGCTCACGCCTGGGGTGTTGTCCATGATCACCGTCGGGCAGGCGGACTGGATGCACTGGATCAACTTGCCCTTGGTGGCACCGCCCACGAAAATACTCCCTGTCGGCCCCAAGAAATCGTGTTGGAAGCCCGCAGCGTTGCTGTCTAACGCCTGCTCAGTGGCGAAGGTCCAGTCAGCTTGCACCGGCGCAGACGGCACCCCGTCGTGGAGGGCGCGAAATCTGAGCAGGAACAGGTCTGCGAACGGCCACGGGAACTGGGTGACAGGGTGGCGATCTGCGTATGCCGACGAGGCCTTCTGGAACGACCAGAAGCCGAAGCCGTGCTGGCTGAACTCCGGGTTGGCCTGGTTGGACTCCGGCTGCCAAAATGATCCAGGCAGCTCAGTGCACTCCAGCTCCTCGGCGCAGCACGAGTTCAGGGGCCTGGACTTGGCGAAGAGCATCCGCATCAGCTCGATCGAAGTCTTACACCGCATCCAAGCGGCGTCCTGCATGTGGGCGGCGACCACCCGGAATGGCTCCGCGCAGTCGCACTGCACGCACTGCTGGAGGAAGACGTCGAAGGTCGACACAGTGGGGCCCGTGAGGAACCAGGTGTTCGTCTCGCTGGCCGCGCTTGCGATCGAACCCACCATCGATGTGATCTTCTTGTCCAGCACTGCGTTCGCAAAGTCCTGAAGCGCCTGGCTCTGGGCCTCGCTCAGCGAGCCGTCGTCGGGCCGGCCCGCGTCAGAGGTGGCCCCACACCTAGAAGGAGAACAAAAACCTATAAACTTTTACTTTTGGCGCTCCGCGCGGATTTCTTGGATTCGCGCTGGACCCCCTCCCTGGCGCGGGGCGGCGCCGGAGGCGCCGCCGGGGGGCCCAGGCGCGGATCCAAGAAACCCGCGCGGAGCGCCAAAAGTTTACGTGTATTTGGTTTTTCTTCTTCGAACACCAGCAGCCCTCGGACTTCTTGCGGATGCCAAGGCTGCTGTGGGCCTCCTCTACGAGGGGTCGGAAACCCTGACAGGCCCTCAATTCCGGGGTCGCGATCATCATCGGGTGAAGCAGTGTGCCCTGTCCGCTCAGCGTCATCGACGGGGGGTCCCTGTCGAGAAGCTCGCAGATCTCCTGAAGGCTCTTCCAACTCCGCATCCAAGCTCTTCCAACCAACCCCACCTGCCCGTCCTCCTCCTCGTCCTCGTCCTCCTCCTCCTCCTCCTCCTCCTCTGTGAAACCTGTGAGGTGCGAGAAAAGGTCGCACAACCACAACCCACCCTTTCCAGACGACGGCCGAAGCATCACATCGGAATCGCCCGATTATCCAACGCCTCTGACGGCGGTATGCTCCTCGCCTCCTCCTCCTCCTCCTCCTCCTCCTTCCCCTCTCCTGGATTAGCTCCCTGCTCAATGGCGTGCCCTCTGGGATGAACACCGCGTGCTTCTCGCCCTCGAACCCGTCGATGCGGAACCTGCAATACCTCAGCAGCCCAGCCAGGTCGGGGCCAGATGCGTCCGACGACTGCTGAAACTCGTGGTCCACCAGAGGGTCGTTCTCGCCGTAGCCTGTCTCCTCCCGCTCGAGCAGCAGACTCCTGGCGGCCCCGCGGAGCATCCCGTGGGGGGGCTCGCCGCGGGACGAGGCCCGGCCGGACTCCAGGCTTGAGCCAAGGCTGCGGAGGACCACCCTGAACACACACACACAGACACACAGACACACAGACGCACACGCACACGCACACGCACACGCACAGACACACGCACACGCACACGCACAGACACACGCACACGCACACACACACACACACGAACAGACACACACACACACACACACACACACGCACACGCACAACAAACACACGCTGTTCGCTGCGACCAGCCTCGGGAGCCGGCGACTAGGAGATGGTCTGGCCTGCGCCCCTGGTGCGCTCCTCAACAGCCGGTGAGATGATGCGAGAACACGAGCGAGCCAATACGGGCATTTGAAATTGACATACACGGCAGTTCAGCCGAACGCTGTACGATTGTCAGGATGGTGGCAACGATGATGGGGATGAAGATGTGGCTGGTGATGCTGACGATGATGAGGGCAATGCCGATCATGCTGGTATTGAAAATGAGGCTGACGATGATGGGAAGAGGAATCAATGATCCTGATGAGGTGGACCGTGGAGTGGTCAGCCACCGATGCGCGCAGCACACAACACCCCACGGCATCAGCCGTCATGCCAAAACAAGGATCACCATCGTTCACAGATCATCCGATTACATGAATCCAGAAGTTCATGCAAGGCGGACGGTTCACAGCAGTGTCTTGACACTGCTTTGGCGATTGCACCGCTCCTGGCTTGAACGATGCGAGAATCTGACCAGAAGGGGGCAATGCAGGAACAAGACGGCGTTTGGCGTGCTCTTTCAACTTCGTTGTGGTCCGGCATTGGTTCTGCTTGTGCTCTCTTGCACAAGGCTCTTCCTTCTTCCTCCTCCTCCTCCTCCTCCTCCAACTCCTCGCCATCCTCCTCCTTCTTTCTCCTCCTCCTCCTCCTCGCCCTCCTCCTCCTCCTCCTGGCGAGGCGGGGTGGCTTGCGCTTCACCCCTGCGCCTACGCACAGTCTGTGTGCGCAAAGAGAGCACGACAAGGCAGGCCAGCGTCAACCAGCTCCCCTCCTCCTCCCTTCCCCTCATCTGTCCTCCCCTTCCCATTCGCCCTCCTTCTCGTCCGCCTGCCCCGCCTCCCTTGGTTCCCTTCCCTCCCCCCTCTTCTCTCGGCCCCTCGAAGGGGCCGAGACGGGACCCAGAGCCAAAAACAGACAAAGCCTGGGCGGCGCACACGAAGTCTTCTCCTGCCGGCCTGGGGGCGCCTCCCCAGCCGCGAGCCGCGGTTACGGGGGCTGTGCGCCCGAGAACTGCAGGCCTTCCCCTTCCACACGCTCACTTCTCCCCGCGTTTCTGGGGCGCCTCCACAGTCGCGAACAAGCGGTCACGGGGGGGGGCTGCCCCGGTGGAGCGCGTCCTGACCACCTCAGTGGACACTGCGGCGCCCGCCCCCTCCCGCCGCGAGAAAGTGATCACGGAGGGGTGCCCTGGTGGAGCGCGTTCTGACAACACGCCTATGTATGAGAGAACCGCTCCAGATACCAATTGTTTTATCATCCTATGCGAATTTTCCCGCGCCACCTTCTCATCCCCTTCAATCTCTCTGGCAGCATTGCCGTTTTTGGCTCAAGACAGCACCGCGGTGGCCAGAACAGTGGTCCTGGCCGACGTCGAGGGGTTCGACGGCCGCTCGATGGGCTTCGACGACTCGCGCCCGCCACCGCTGCCCCCAGTCGGGACAGACGTGCACGCATGGTGGGCTAACAAGGGAGGCGATGGAGGCACGGCGAGCGCATGGGAATGCGGCCGCTCGAGCGCACGGGCTGCCGGCGCATGGGGTAGAGCGAGGAGAGACGCTCCGGCCGCAGCGCTTTGCGCCCACGGCAGCGGCGAGCATGGGAAGCTGGCCCCCCTCCTATAGCAGAAGTGGCGCGGCCGCGGACGGTGCGCGCTGGGGAGGGGGAAGGGGAAAGGCGCAGCTGCGCGTGGTACAGGAGATGGTGCCTCCGCAGAGACAGGAAGGCCGCAGTGGCGGATGCACAGGCAATGCGCTCGTACCCCCCAGGTGTTCTTTGAGGACTGCGCGGCAGGCTGGTCAGGTACTTGCTAGCAACACGACGCGGCCTTGCCTTCCTTCCGAGACGAGCGCGAGAACACAACGAAATTTCTCGACAGCCGCACATTCGTCCTCGATTGCGGAGACGCGGAACATATTCCGAGCATCATCAAGCACTAATGGAAGGGTCAACTGCAGGACAACAGGGACTGGGACTGGGACCACACGGAGACGAAGCGGTGGTCATGCATGGGGATGGTCGCAAAAATTAGACACGGCTGGGATCCAGCTCGTGGTGTGCGGCGCTGACGAAGACCACAATCGCGGGTTGGTCAGTTGCGAAATTTTATGTCCAAGCCCGACCAAGCACGACCACAGAAAACCGTGGCCGAGGCAGTCAGTCCGGTTGTCCAGGTTTGATATCCTTCTCTTCTGTAGGGGGGCATATGCGAACCCTACCCCTACCCCCTACGATTTCTGAGGGGGAGGGTGGGGTTCACTCTGTTCGGGAGCTCCCGAGCGAAAGGAACCCCACCCTCCCCTAAGAAATCGTGAAGGGTAGGGGTAAGGTTCGCATGTGGCCCCCTACTCTGCGATTGCGCCCCGAATTGTCTCGTGCGAGGCTCAACGCGCACGATGTGGAACCGCGTTTGTACCCCGTGCCGCTCCCGAGGACGGGCCTCGGTAGGAGCCAAGGCCCTGTAACATTTGAACAAAAAACAGAACGTGCACGCCAAAAGGGAAGTTCGACGCGACCAAACACGGATTGGGCGCTGCAACCGTGGTGGGTGCAGAATTGAAACAGCAATTGCGGCGACCGGCCACATGGCGCAGCGCTCCTTTCACTGAGCACGAATGCGCATACTCGTCCGCACCCACGGCGCTTCCACGAGCGACCTTAGAAAATTTCCATTCGGCCACAGCTGCGGCGTTTCCACGAAAGAGTTCCGCAGGTGATTTGGTCGCGCAGCACTTCCTTATACTATCTAAGTGCGGCCGCAAATGCGAAAACAAATATGTACAGCAGCAAATGCGGCGCAGGGCCATTTTTCCAACAGCATCGCGAAGAAATGGCGGCACGGGCCACGGGGAGCAGGGCAGCTGAGTGTTATCGTTTGGTCATCTTCTCCTACTTTGTCGTTTTCTTGCTCCGCGTCCTCGCTCCCCCATCCTTTTCGTCCTCTTCGTCGTCGCTGCCTTCCTCCTGCACCTCCGCTTCCTCCTCCTCCCTCCCTGGCGTGATGTTTCGCATCATCCTCTTCATCCTCGTCGTCTCCGTCCTCCCCTTCGTCTTCCTCCTCGTCCTCACCTCGTGCCAGCGGTAAAGCTAACACTTGGCTGCGAGAAATGCGACAATGCTCCTCGCCCAGTCGCAAGGCCACGTTCTGATACCCACCTTCGGCCAGGGTGGCCGACGAGTTCGACAGGTGAAGAACTCACCTAATGCGAGTTGGATGAAGATTAGCCAGATCAAATTGAATAATTGCCGAATCTCCAACCCAGCTGGTATGGGTAGCGAGCACACTTGAACATGTAGAAGGCGATTCTACAGCATGGCGCAAGCGCACAGGGGGTTCCTAACGCGCGGTGCGCTCTTTGAAGTGCTGCAAAGTACACACTGCCTGTTAGCGCCGATCACGGCAAGTAACAAGGGAGAGGAGGAAGGAGACTGAAGATCACCTAGCGGCAGTGGTAGCGGCTAGTGGACCTAGCTGGCGTAGCCATCCCGACACCCCGGTGGCACGCCTGCTCTCGGGTATGGCCCGACTGGGAAACTGGATAACGGTTCGCCTTACGTATGGTCTCATAGAAGATGCGTGCCCGATACGCTGTTTCACGCTGCAGCCAGCAGCCGAAGTCGTCATTCCTGATGCGCTTGACAGTGCGTTCAACAGTGTTGTCGAAACCCATCGCTTGAAACTCCGAGCTGGGTTGCGAGGGGAACAGGGGAACGCAGGGTTATATGTGCGCGTCCTCTTTAACTCGGTGTCAGTGTTCGGATCGGCCATGCAGTGGCCTCCTGTGGTCCATCAATGGAAGCCGATGGCTGGCAGCCACGCCTGTCAGCACGCCGCTTCTTTACACGGGATCCCCGAGAGGAAATTCGTGAGAGCCGATCACCTGGCGGTTGTTGGATTGATATCGCCACCTTTAACGTGGTCTGATAACAGCAAACACTCCAAGTTAACAACCTCGGCGCCATTAACTCATCCCTGCTTAATCCCTCAATCAACTCGTGCTGTTCGTAAAAGATAACCAGACCGTCCAGGAGCTAAATGAGGAGATCATCTAACTCCCCAGTTGCGAACCGCAGTGCGACAGCGCCTGTGCGCGAACTTCACCCTGGTTGCTGGGAGCGTCTTCATAAAAACCTTTGGGTACAAAGTATCACCGGCTTTCCCGACCATAGCATACCAAACATCGTGCCGAGCACATTCAAACATTCGCCCTCTTGCATTTCCTGGTACACTTAGATAAACACCTGCGTTTGGGGCATGTCCTGGTGCAAGCTGCGATAACCGCACCTCAGCTCCAGACGCGAAGGGTTGAGCTGATTCGAGATTCACGGAGGGCGGAAGTCGCGAGGTATCTTAGACTGCAAGTGCCTGCCTGATTTGATCTACCGAGCTGGGCCAGCCAGCGGAAATGGCTTTAGTTGCCCGACCTCTGCAACTTCCGCCTTTGTTTGACCAACCGTGGGCTCACTGGGTAACTCGCCTGCCTTGGGGCCGCTCGGTAGCCCTTCCCCGCTGGCTGCACCACTGCCGCTGAGAGGCCGACTGCGGGAACGGGCACGGTGCTCATCCGAGATTTGGTTAACTGACCGTCGCGCTTAGGCTCGCCCTCCGAGGTCTCAGTCAATCTAACAAGCGGCAGTACCTTCCTCGTATTGGGTGCATCCTTAATAGGTAACCTGGAGACTGAAGACTTGGAGGGTGTCTCTAACGCGGGTCTTTTCACTGCTCCTTCAGGCGCGGCCTCGGGCTACGGACCAACGCCAGATGACGGCGGGGCTCCCGCGATTTCCTCTGGCGGTAACTTTAGCGCGGCCTGTGCAGGAGGCGTACCCGTGTACAACGCCCGAGGAGTTAACGGGGATAACGTCCTCACCGCAATGTCTACAAGGTTTTCCCTCATAGAACATCCCCCTCTTCAGGCCGATGGGGGATGCAGTGCCATCTGCACTCTCGTCGGGATCTGGCAATCTCAAGATGGTCAGACCATCAACCCATAAACGCTGCACAGATCAATCGGTGATATTATGTCAGATCACGTGTGGCGTTGGAACGCAAGGCGGCCCAACTGCAAGCTGCACGCTAGTGTTGCACAGCCGACGGACACACCAAGGCATGGACCGTGGAGTGGCCAACCATCGATGGTCGCACCACGTGGCACCCCACGGCTGCAAAATCACGCAGGGTGTTTGACAGTGCTGCGGATATGCCCAGACCCAACACTATCTAGGAGGCACAAAAATCAACACTATCACCACCATCGCGAGGAGCGAGGAAGGATCCTCTCGGTGGTTGGGCCCCCTGGTTTCGCGGCGCCCCGCTGGAACATCTCCGATCTCCAACTCGAGACGGAATCAAAAGCCCGTGGTTGTGTCGCGTCTCCTCCCTCCGACCATCGGCCGGGTTGCCGAACACAAGGTTGACCCGTGTAGAATACCCCTGCGCAGACCGATGCGAGATGCAGCGGCGTCTGCATACACCCAAGACCATTGCAGGGTCGGCACTGCTTCTTCATCACAGCTGGGACGGCTCAACACGGATAGCCTGCTGAAGCGATTGAGAACATGATACCACCAACAACATTTAGAGTGCAGAGGCAAAGTGGTCCAGATGAAAAAGGCTGGTCCCGAGTCGAACATGTAACTCAACAATGAACGCGGAGTGGTAAACCTTTGATTTATGAATGCATCACGCGGCATCCGCTAGCTGAACTTTTCGAGGTGGTTTGTAACGGCGCAGATACGCAACCACGAAGTGGCATAGACCACAGAGACCAAGGACAACGCGTCCTCCTCTCAAGTTTATCTGGACTGCGGGCGCACAAACTGAATTCTACTTCTTCGAGACGCTGCAGACTCAACTGTGTGAGAATACAGCAAATTGCGACGCGGGTTTTCAGATCAGATCAGTCATGCTACACGCGTGCTTTAATCATTCGACACGGACGCTGGGTTTCTGGAGCGGCAGGAGCCAATCGACATCCCGGATATGCCCCCGAATGGCCCGACATATGCACCCCGAGAGGCCTTGAAAAAGCCCCCAAGAGATCGCAAACCGCATAGATGTCATGTACAAACCAGTTCCACGATGCCTAACCCTGGCCAGCCTGGGCCCCAATACCTAGGATGGTGTACACACAAAGAGGGCCGAGGCCAGCGGCATCTGAACACCAATCTGGGGCTCAAGATTACGCTCCCCATCAATGATGGACTTATCAGGCCCTCTGCGGAACGGACATGCCCCGAAGAGACCCCGAGATACAACGTAAAAGACAATCCACTGCCAGGCGGGGATCTGTCAGTAACCGCCGCCTGGGGGATCTGACCGATCTTCAGTGATCTCGGCAAGAGCCCTTTCTGTTATCATTCGCGATCGCGCCCGTGACCAGCCCCGCCACCCTCCACCCCCCTCCCCCGCCCTTCCCACTCCTCCCTCCCCGGTCACGTCACGATTCGTGTCTTGGGGCGTCCTGGCAGTTTCTTCGCGACCCATTGGGGCCACTCTGGGACTCTTAGGGCCTCTTGGGGATTCTCACGCTCGTTGGGAAGGCTCTGGAGGGTCTCCTGGGGGTTCTTTGAAGTCTCTTGGGGGTGTCTTGGGGGCGTCTTGGGGCCTGCTTCTTACGCATTCCCAGACGGCGCCGGCGCGAGTCGTGACGTGACCGGTCTCCTCCGCCCCTCCGTGGGGGACAACGATAGGGGGGAACGGGCATAGGGGGGGATGCATCGACCTGGAATCGGCGATACATCGCCGATGTATCGGCGATAAGCCTCTGATAGTGAGTCCGCACCTCCTGGGCAGGTTGGGGCTATCGGGCCCCTATCGGCGATCAATGGGCGATTGAGGGTCGACGCATCCCCCCCTATGCCTATCCCCCCCCTATCGTTGCCCCTGACTCCGACACACCCCTGACACGCCCGTTGTCGCCAAGGGATAACAAAAAACTGTCCCCAGGCGGTCCCCGGAAAGCCCGAGCCTCTCCCTACAGGGCCGGTGCTTCATCCCGAGTCGCTCTTTGAGGGTCCTCGGGCCCAGCGAGGGCCCCTGGAGGCGGAGCACCATCAAAAACCTCCCGTCGTGATGTTCTCGCGACCTTCGATCGATCTTCGGGGACCTCGGCAAGCGGTTTGGATACACTCGCGCGGAGGAAGGCCCGCTTTCCCGCTCGTGGCTCCCGCGGCCGCCGGCGTTTGGGCCCGCGGGGAACCAGCGCGGCGGTCTACCCGCAAGGGGCGGCAGCTCGGATGGGGCGACGAGGGGGATGGGGCAAGAGGGCGAGGGGGAGGAGGAGGAGGAGGAGGAGGAGGAGGGAGGAGGAGGAGGAGGAGGAGGAGGAGGAGGAGGAGGAGGAGGAGGAGGAGAGGAGGAGGAGGAGGAGGAGAGGGGGAGGAGGAGAGGAGGAGGGAGGAGGAGGAGGAGGGAGGAGGAGGAGGAGGAGGAGGAGGGAGAAGAGGAAGAGGAGGAGGAGGGAGGAGGGGCGAGGAGGAGAAGGAGGAGGCGGGGCGAGGAGAAAGATGAGGAGAAAGAGGAGGAGGTAAAGGAGGACAAACGTGAACCCAAGATTCATCAAAGATGTTGCAGAACATCCCCCCTCCTTATTCCCCATGTCATAGGCCCCTACAAAGATTCACTTCCACTGTACAAAATTCCCCGTTGGAAAACAATATGAACACCATTCCTTGGCCTTGAAAGCCGCAACTCAGCGTTACTGTTGCGTCTTGACGACCCCGAATCTTGCCAGAACGCCATTCCCAGGACTTCAGCACCACGGATTAACGTAACATCTGCGCCTGAATAGACGGACATCTGTCAAAACGCAACGTCTGAGATGTTCAAGCCATGAGAACCCGTGAAACTGCTCTAAACACACAGCACATGAGGGCAACGCTAATGCGATAACCACATCTTGAAAAAGAATCGCCCTCCATTCGTGAAACTCTTGCAAATCTTACTACGGATGTGCGCGGCACTTGGGCGAGAACCACATCTTGAAAACGGCACGCCCTTCATAGGGGAAACTCTTACAAACGTTTGAAAATAATGTGCGCGGCGCTAATGCGAGAACACACATGTTTAAAGCCACACGCCCTCAATCCGTGAATGTCTTGCATGTCTTGTCGGACGGATACGCGCGGCGCTGAAACGAAAACAACATCTGAAAATGGCCCGCCCTGCATCCGCGAACACTTAATTGTTCAGGACGGGAATGCGCGGCGCTAAAGCTAGAGCCGCATGTTGAAAACGACCCGCACTCCATCCGCGAAACTCTTGCACATTCTGAGCTTCAAGATTACACATGTGAAGGGCCCCTGGGACACACAAATAAATACACACAAATAAAAGGATTCCCTGTATTTCCCCATGTTTTCTGGGTGTTTGTCTTCCCCCCACTTCCTATAGTTTCCAATGCTTTCTGGGAGATCGACGATTAATTGTGTCTGTGTGTTTTTCCCCTCCTGAAAATAGTGAAGATGTCTCTGGCGAAACGCTTGGCTCGCCCCTTCGACTGGCCTCGGGGTGCGAACGTGAGCAGTTCCTCACAGGGAACATGGACGGAGGAGAGTGGAGGACGAGGACGAGGAGGAGGAGGAGGAGGCGAGGGGGAAGTACAGACTCATAAGGAGAATGACTGGGGGAGGATAGGGGACGAGGACGAGGACGAGGAGGGGGGGAAAAGGAGGTGGAGGAGAGGGGGAGGACTTACTCGTAAGAGGAATGAGTGGGGGAGGATGGAGGACGAGGAGGAGGAGGATGAAGGAAGCGGACGAGGAGGAAGAGGGGGAGGGGCGTCCTCTCCCGACATGCCTGCAGCCACCGTGCTGACAAGGAGCGCCGCGGGAGGAACGCAGGGGCGTGCCTGGCCGCGGGGGGTAGCGTCGGCCGCGAACACGCTCCCCGTCACGAATCCCAGGAACGATCGTAACACCAAACCCCCGCCGTGGCCCGAACTGGTCCTCACTTCGGCCCCTCCTGCTGGGGGTCCCCCACCGATGTGGCGACAGACCGTGCAGTGACCTCTGAATCCTCGACCACCTCGCCGCTCGATCCGTCACAGCACCGCTCTGGGAACCCGAAGCGCTGGCAAACACATCGAAGGTACCACTCTGCCATGTCAGAACCAGGCAGAAGAGGTGTGGTTTCGATGTGATTGGCCCTCCGATTGGGGGGGGGCTGTGCTCGGGGGTCCCCTGACCGAGCAGACCATTCATATGATCAAGGCAGTGTGGGAGTTTGGGGAGCGTGGGCTGAACGCCATCGCCGTCCCAAAATGACCGCCTCTCTCCCAGCGCCACCACCCTATTCTGAAGTTTGATGGCATCCAAGCTCCGACAACTTTACGGCGCCCTCGCGTCTACGTTTTTCTGTCGCCTTCGCTTCTAGAATTTGAAGTCGCCGTCGCTGTGGTCGTCGCCGCCGTCGACGCGGCGGTCGTTGCTGTCCCCGTCGTCGCCGTCATCGACACCGTCGCCGCGGCCATCGCCGCCGTCGTGACCGTCATCGTCGCTGCCGTCGTCGCTGCCGCCGCCGTCGACGCCGTCGCCATGGTCGCCGTTGTCACCGACGGTGTTCTCATGTCTAATGTGAGGTCAGTTCTTGGTGCCCCACGGAAGCCAAAACGAAAGTTAGTCCGCCTGTATCAAGCAGGCACGAAACCCACCTTTGCTTTGTAGCCCGATGGGCTCAATAAGAACGCACGCAACGTCAACAATACCACCCGCAACTGTCTGAATCGGACGAGGGGCAGCCTATGAGCCTTCGACTTGTTTGGCTTTCTGTCGGGGAGGTGCGATTGGCAGGGGAGGCCTCTGGCTAGGCAAGCCTCCCATATCGTTGGCGATACGCCATCGCCTCTAGAATTCCAACGGTCCGTCGCCGTCGTTGCAATCGCCATCGCCGCCGCCACCGCCGCCACCGCCGCCGTCGCCACCGCCGCCGTCGCAGTCGCCGTCGTCGTCGCCATCGTCGTCTCTGTCGTCGTCGTGTCGTCGCTGCCGCCTCCCCCGTCCCCGTCATCGTCTCCAAAGTCGTCGTGCTACCTGAAAGTATGTCGTTGTCGTATAAGCGATGCCCGAATTTAGTCAATCGCCCGAGGGAAGCAAAACTACATAAACATCCGAACTCCAGAAAGAAGCAAGAGATAAGCGACGAAAAATCACCAAACAACTACCAACACATGAACTCTTGGAGGTCTCTACAAGTTTCTCGGGTCGGCGTTGGACCCCTCTCCCCACCCCTGGAAAAACGGCGTGGAGAAGAGAAGCCCACCGCCGACCACAACATCCGCTCGGACCTCCTAAGACGAAGCCAGGACGAAAATGCGATCGAATAAAAAGAAATCGAGAATCTCTGAGATCCGTCCGGCTCTGGGGAATGTATCGAGCGCAGCGGCCTTCTCAGAGCGTTCCGGAACACTCTGGGAGCGTTCCGGAACGCTCTGGAAGGGTCTTGTCCTCGTCCTCGCCCCGTCCTACCTCCGCACTTTGCCTTAAGTCGATTGTTCTGCTCACCATCCTGCTCCTCCGCCTCCTCCACTTCACAGCCGTTGGGGACGGGCACCCGTCGCACACAGCAGGACCCGCGCCGAAGCCCTGTTCGGAGCTCGCTCCGGGACAGGCCTGGCGTTAGGTCGGGCATGTCCGCCTGCAGCCGGATTTTGGACGAACGCTGAAAGATAGTAACAACAAAAACGCTCAAAAATAGCCCAAAAATGTTCGAACATCATCCCCAACTATTTTTGACTATTCTTGAATGGCGATCGGCCCTCGGGTGGATGGTGCAGGGGCAGGACGAGGCGAGGGGCACCGACCGAGGCCGAAGATGGGGGAGAGGTCCAGCAGCACCACCGCCGCCACGATCGACGCATGGCCGCGAGAGCAAGGGCCAAGAAAAGACGAGCCCCCTGCGCCGAGAGGGGCGCCTGGGGCTACGACAGGGATGACCTTCCAGCGTAGCCAGCTTCGAACGTGTCCGTATCCCTAAGACTAGGTCGGGCCTGTCCCCCTGCATGGGGATTTTGGGCGAACAATTAGGCATATTCAAAACATACGCCAAAAATTATCAAAAAAATAATCAAAACATCGTCCCCATAGCATTTTGTTATTTTTGAATATCCCTCCTGTACAGGGACAGGCCCGACTGAACCCTAAGATTGCCAGCCCCCCAGAGGCGGTGTCAAGCTCAGGATGGCGCCCTCGGAAGCCGAGGGCATCCTCGAGATCGGCGTCGGAGCAGGGCGGTGCCAGCCCTGGGGGGACGGGGACATCTCAGGGACAGGTGGCCCCCACACGACAAACGTCGGGGCACCCCGCACGCTCGCGCCAGCCGCAAACCTCCGCAGGCCCCCTTCGAGCCGACGCCTCCGCGGACACGGCACGTCCGCCTCCGCCCGGGCTCGGAACCGACCGCCTCCCCCCGGGGCCCGGGCGGATCTCGGTCGGGGATGGGCAGGGCCCCCCTTTAGTAAAACGCGGTTTGGTGAGAACGACCTCGGGGCCAAACCTGGCGGGCGCAGGCCAGGAAAACGACGGCCGCGGCGCCCTCTCGAGAACTGAAAACGGACAATTCACCAATCGACGCGTCAGGTGTGGGGGTTCTGTCCACCCCCGACTGGGAGTTGGGGGCAAATCGAGGCCAGCGGCACGTGCGCGGTCCAGGCGGGGGGCCGGGGACGTTCTGAGATAAGAAGAGGCGCCATGAAATCTGGGGAGAGATCGCGGCTACCGCCATGATGCCCCCACATTAGTCATCACCCCCTCGTGGTCGCCCCCGAGGGTGCCTACCCGCCCATGCGGGGGCGGGCAGATACGACAATTAGGAGCTCGACCACAAGAAACCTTCCACAGGAAGCCCAACCCTGACACCCCATTGACTTTTGGTGTGGGAGCTTCACGCTTTCCGTGGCAAAACTATCGAACCCCAAGAAACGCAGTGCACCCTGGAGGCAAGCAGGGCGTTTCTCGGCATGGGCTTCCATTGTGGGAACCAAACAGTGGCATAAACAGACGACCTCGCAGGTCCGCGCGGATTGCTTGGATCGGCGCTGGAGCCCACTGGCGGCGCCTCTGGCGCCACCCCTGACGCGCTCCAGGGCCAGTCCAAGAAATCCGCGCGGGTCTCCGACTTGTCATTTTTATATCATTGTTGGGTCCCCGACATCGGCATCGACAACACGGCGTTCCACTGCATCCATAGCCACAACCCCTCGAGGTCTCAGGGGACGACTCCTCAGCAATGGATGTGGGCATGCTCTAGGAAGAGAAAAAACGGCATGAACATAAACTGTTGGCGCTCCGCGCGCGCGGAGTTCCTGGATCTGCGCTGGAGGTGTCCAGCGCGGATCCAGGAACTCCGCGCGGAGCGCCAACGATTTATGAATACGGCGCTGTTTTTAGGTCGGGCATGTCCCCTTACAGGCGGATTTTGGGGGAACAAGAAAAACAGTCAAAACATACGCCCAAATAGCCAAAACATGATCAACAAATCGTCCCCTGACTGTTGTTTGACTAGTCTTGAATATCCCTCATGTAGAAGGACACGCCCAACTTACCGCTGTTCCTTCCTCGATTTTGGACGCCCGAAATGGGTACGGAAAAATGGGTACAATGCCCAACAACACGTGCTGTCCCAAACCAACAGCGGCCGCTGTTGGGCAGGCGGCCTTCTGTCTCAAATGTGCACAGGCCGCGGCGACACCGACGGCGAGTCCTGTTCAAAATGAGCAAGAACTGCTGCTGGGCATTGCACCCACTCTTTCCGTACCCATGGGATGGACAGACCTCCCTTTAGTAAAACGTGGTTTCGTGAAAACGTCCTAAGGCCCAAACCTGGCGGGCGCAAGCCCGGAAAACACCGGCCGGGGCGCCCTCTCGAGAACCGAGAACGGACAATTCGCTGATCGACGTGTCACTGTTGGGGGTTCTGTCCCCCCCCCGATTTCGAGCGTCCAGATCGATACGCTGGAGGTGGACTCCCCTCCCCCCCCCCTGGGCGAGGGGCGGGCAGTGCAGCGGGGGTGGGGCAAGCCAGGGCGCGCGCCCGCCGCGCCCCGAGGCCTCGCGCGGCCTGCCTACTCGGCGGCCTTCAGCCTCATGAGGTAGTCCTCCGGGGCATCCACGCATGGCACGGGCGGGCACGCCGGTCGGGAAGGCGGGCAGAGCAGATCTGGCCCATCCAAATCGGCGGTGGACAAACCTCCCTTTCGTAATCCTGCCCTCACTGAAAACGGCCTGGGACCGAAACCGACGGACCAAATGACGGCCGCAACTACCTCTCGCCAACCGAAAACGGCCAATTCCTTAATCGACGTGTCAGGGTAGGAGGTCTGTCCACCCCCAATCAGAGAATAACACCACACAGCAAAAGCACATCGATTCTTGAAGTACGAAGGCGCTTGAAGTTGATTGGGATCTGGGAATCCAGGAATCTCTACTTTCAATGACCGACGTGTCAACTTCTGGAGGCCCGCCCAAATTTCTTGGATCGGCACTGATCCCACTCCCTGGCGCGCGGAGTGCGCCGGGGTCGGCGCCGCAGGCGCCGCCAGGGGGCCCCAGCGCCGATCCGAGAAATCCGCCCGGACCTCCGCCAAGTTCCTGTTCATGGCTTTTGCTGCTCCCCGATCCTTGGCCTGGTCGGGCAGGCTGGCCACGAAGGCGAAGGACTGGGAGCGCACCGCCCTCTCGATCTCCTTCATCGCGCCCAGCCACTCGCTGCTGGTGACCCGCAGCCCGACCTCCAGCTCGGCACTCCTCCTGAGGAAGGCCCGGCGCTGCGTGTCGTCCAGGAAGCTGACGACGAAGGGCGCGCCCACTCCCGCGAGCTGCTCTTCGCGGAACTCGCCCAGTCTGGCCACGACCTCCTCGGCAAGGAACTCCACGCAGCGTTTGTTGGCGGCCGAGCCAGCTGCGCTGGCGGCCTTCTTCGCGCTGACGCCGTTGGCATGCAGCGAGCCGATGGAGCCGGCAGCCGCCACCACGCTGACGGCCAGCGCCGCCCTGTCGCGGCGCCCGAGGACCGCGAGTTGGGAGAGCAGCATGTCGAGGTAGGTCTGCTCCGCGACCCCGAACGACGCCATCAGCCGCAGCGCGTCGACGACCGCGGCCACGCCCAGGCTCCTCGCGGGCGAAGAAAATACGTCCGTATCCGCGGCATCGCGGGCCAGGCCCCTGGGCCGCGACCCCGCGGATACGGGGCGCTTCTTCGCGGAAACCCGCGCGGAACGCAGACGTGCGACCACGTATCCGCGAGACCGCACCCCGGAAACTAGACAGCGAGAGCGTAGATATGCATACCGAGGAAACCAAGAGGTACCGATACCACTACTTCCTGGACCTCTCCCAGGGTGCGTTCTGACTAGAATTGCGAGGCGAATTCGCCGGTGGCAACGAGGGACTCCTAGGAGGCCCAAGAAGGGGAAAACGAGGGAAGGGTAGCAGTATCTGAAAAGCAATAAAGGACCCCCAACCCGTTGAGAGCAGACCTAAGTTCAGGGGTCTTCACTGCAGATGTATCAAAACAATCCGCCCAAATTCATTATCCCTGATGGCAGGACGGGGACCTAAGGTAGGCGACGTCTTCATTGCGTTATCAGGGTCATGATTCTCGGTGCGTATGGATACCTTTTTCTCATCTGATCGTTGCCCCTGGTGAACTCCCGAGCTGCGGTGCCAGGCATGCGAGCAGCGCATCAGCCGCCTCCCGGCAGGCCGAGTTCGCTGCCGCCGCGCCGACCCCGCCCGCGCCGCGCGGTGCGCTGGCGAGGCACTCCACCGCGCGCAGGAGCTGGCCCACGGTGAGCATGTGCGCGCCACCCTCTGTTAGAAAGCAACTTTGGCGGCGGCAACACGCGGGCTTGTTTCGTTCGCGGTTGTGTTTTGCCGAATAAAGTACACGCGTCTATATCGATACACACATACAAGCACATACATGTGTGTATATATATATATACATGCATATAGGTGCATACATTTGTATGTGTATATATATACATGTATAAATATATACATAAGTACTCGTATAATAATATGCACTAATACTCCTCTGCGATCCGCGGCGCTGCTCGCTCCTCCCTCTCTCCCTTCCCCTTTTCTCCTCCTCCTCCTCCTCCTCCTCCATTCCCTGTCCTTATGAATAACTTCTCCCTGTCGCACCCCGAGGCCAATCTTAAGGGCGGACCGGGTGTTTCGCCTGAGACTTCCGCACCAAGTATGACCCTGAAACTTACACTTTGCAAACAGTTTCACGGATTGAGGGCGGGTGGTTTTCAAAATGGGGCTCTCGCCTCAGCGCCGCGCGCATTCGTTTTAAAGATTCGCAAGCGTTTCACGGATTGAGGGCGGGTGGTTTTCAACATGTGGCTCTCGCCTTGCCGCACATTCGTTTTGAAAATTCGCAAACGTTTCACGGATTGAGGGCGGGTGGTTTTCAAAATGGGGCTCTCGCCTCAGCGCCGCGCACAATCGTTTTAAATAATTGCCAGGATTTCACGGATTGAGGGCGACCCCTCATCAAAATGTGGCTCTCGCCTCAGCGCCGCGCACATCCGTTTTCAAACATTGCAAGAGTTTCACGGATTGAGGGTGGTTCCTTTTCAACATGTGGCTCTATCCTTAGCGCCGCGCGCATGTTTTAGAAATCTGTAAGACACTCATGATCAACGTACCAGAAATGGTGTTTTGGAGGGGTTCAACATTATGTGGGTGCAACAATTCGGTTGTTTCACGGTGTTGACGTACCAAGAACGGCATTCTGGCCCGATTCTGGATCGTCAAAACGCAACAGTCAAGTTGATCCGTGACGCTAGACTCCAGAGAACAATGTTTCAGCATGCTTCAAGGTCTTCCAAGAGGCAATTCCCTGAGTGGAAATGAATCGTTGTAGGGTCCTGCGACGAGGGAGCTTGAAGGGAGGGTTTATTCCAGCATCGTTGATGACTTTTGGGTTTGCACTGATCCTCCTCCTCCTCCTCTCGTTTTTCTTTTTCTTAGTCTGTTCCTTTTCCTCCTGTTCCGCCCCCTCTCCTCCTCATCTCTTCCTCCTCCTCCTGCTCTTCCGCATGTTTGCGGCGCGCTCAAGGGGGGTAGGGCAAGGGGGGAAGGATTCTTAGCCCGAGGTTGCTTCTCACTGGGCGCTGGCCCGGCATCTACAAGCAAGGCCCTCACCTTCCAAGAAGCAGGGGTGGTTCTAAGAAACCTTCCCCCTCGCCCATACCCCCCTCTGCTTTTGGCCGGCAACTCCTGGGAGGTCCACGTCAGAACAATTAAGAGCTCCTGAGCCCGATCAGGAGGCCACCGCATCGTTTAGCACAAGAGGAGAAACTGCAGAAACATAAACTGTCGATGGTCTGCGCGGATTTCTTGGATCTGCGCTGGACCCCCTCCCTGGCGCGCCAGGGGCGGCGCCTGAGGCGCCGACTGGGGGCTCCGGGATTCAGCCGTATTCAACTAGATTAAACGGGACTTAGCTGGATGAAGCGGAACGGAGCCGGATTAGGCATGTTTCCGACCGCGGATGTACCAGCGCAGATTCTGAATTGAACCACCGAGGAGTTGCATCCTAATCTTCGGGGAACAAAGCCCCGACGACCCTGCTGTCGGCGAATGTGAGACGCATTTCCGTTGTCGCGGGCGTCGTCGACGTCGTCGTTCTCTCCTTTCCCTGGTCTCTCCTCCTCAAGCGTGGTCCCTGGGGGAGCTGGGGGGGGGCCCTGGGGTGTATCGCCTATCCCTGGAACTTCACATGGCTCCAAGAGGCCTCCAGGTAGCCCGCCCAAGCAAGCCTCAATTTTTTTCAAGATACCAAGCAATTTTTCAAGATGGCTTCCAACATGCTTCCAAGAGGCCTCAAGTCCGCTCCAAGGCGGTTCATGGTGGCCACGGAACTTCCTACGTAAGAAGTCAGCTATTTTGTTTGCTTTCTCACATCTTCGCTTTCGATGGGCTCTTGAGGCCTCAAGATGGCTACAAAATGACCCGAAAGGGCTCCCAGAGGCGCCCATGAGGGCCCCAGCCCCAGAATCACCTGACAGTGCCTGAACAGCACGCCAAAAAGGCTCAAAGAGGCTCGTTCTCGCGCCCTGACGGGAAAACGCACCTAGGGGGAGCCCATCTTCTGCGATCGAAGGCCTCCAATACAGTAGGAGCTCGACCACAAGAACCTTCTTTCACAAGAAACTCACCCCTGAGACCCCAGGACGTCCGTTGAGTTGTGTTGCGGGAACGTCACGCTATATCAAAACCATCGAAGCTCAAGAAACCCAGGGCACCCTCGAGGCGAGCAGGGTGCTTCTTGGCATGCGTTTCCACTGTAGTCATTCCAGGGCCTCCAGAAGATCCCCAAGAGAGGCTCAGGAGAGCTCCAAGAGAGGCCCCCTAAAAGGACTCCCAAGCAGCCCTGGGAGGACCCACGATGGCCCCAAAAAGGAGTGCCTAAGATTAGGTCGGGCATGTCCTCCTACAGGCGGACTTTGGAAGACGAATCAAACACAGTGAAACAACAAACGAACTAACAACAACAACACCCACAACACCAACAACACCCACAACACCCACAACACCCACAACACCCACAACACCCACAACACCCACAACACCCACAACAACAACACTAACAACAACAACAACAACAACAACAACAACAAGAAAACCAATATAGAGCACGGCAAATCGTCACCCGACTATGTGCTACTATGATTGAAGATTTCTCCTGTAGAGTGACACGCAAGACTGAACCCTAAGAGAAGCCCAACATGAACCCAGGAGGGCCCAACGGTGGCCCCCAGAAGCCTTCCCCTCTCACTCTCACTCTCTCCCCTTCCCGATTCCCCCCATCCCTGCCCCCCCCTCCGTGCATCCTCCTCCTCCTTCCATCCTCCTCCTTCCATCCTCCTTCTTCCATCCTCCTCCTCCTCCTCCTGCTCAACGTCCCACTGCCAATGTCTCGTATTGTCCGTTGCGCACAGGGCGCAATGGGTCCCGATACCGCTGCTCCCCAGACCTCTCTCGGGGTGCGTCCTGACCAAACCTCCGAGGAGAAGCCAGCCGTGGCGACAAAGGCACTCCAGGATGAGCAGCGGTACCGGCATATTTTCCCCCTCTGAGCCTTGAGGGCCGCGCAGGTCGAGAGCCACCTCGGGAGAGGGCACAAAAACGGGGACCATGACCAAGACTGCACGCGGAACTATCGTGTCGACCTTGGTCACCGTCCATCTTGGTCAGCGTCAAGTTGTGGAAAGTCCACCTTGATCACCGTCCACCTTGGTCACCGTCCATCTTGGCCAGCGTCAAGTCGTGGACCATCCCCGCGATTCTGCGACGGCGGGCATGGACCATGACCAAAAGCGGCGTCGACAAGATCCCGCGACATTTAGGCCGGGCGTGTCCCCTACAGGCGGATTTCGGACGAAACATTGAACATAGTCAAAAATCAAGAATGGTCAGAGTTAGTCGAAGAATCGTCCCTGACAATTTTTCCACTATTTTTGAACAGTCCTCCTGCAGAGGGACGCGCCCGACTCAACGCGACATCTTGGCCGTGGTCGGTGTGCTTCTTCCCTCGGACCTCGGGTCCTCGAAGCCGAGGCGCGACGCACCGTCGAGCTCCTCTGGCTCCGGGCAAAAGGGGGGTCTTTCGCAATGGAGTCGCAAACAATGTCACTTGAGCGAGATGCTCGTAGAACCCAAAAGTGTTCTAAGATTCTAAGAACAAGAACAATGTTCTTAGAACATAAACCCGATGTGATAAAACAAGACGGACTCCGCCAGAAATGTTCTAAGAACATTTCGTGGAAACCATACAAGGTTCTTAAAACATTATTTGGTGGGGCTATAGGCGAGCCAGGACGCTTCGCCACTGCTTGAATGGGGTCGCAAACAATGTCACAGCTCATCCTGTGGCTTATGGCGCGTGCCCTCTTGCACGGACCAACGATGCCACTCGCAGTGCATCGCATTGCGTTCGGCATCGGAGTCCACCTTGGAGTCCGAACGGGAATCCACAATTAGAGGAAAAAGAACTATGCACATACACCGATTCTGGCCAGGCCCATCCTGAGCCCAGGATCGGTGCATACGCCCGCTACCTTGGCCAGGAAAGTATTTGCACCGATCCTGGGTCAAGGACGGGCCTTGCCAGGATCGGTGCATGCGTATAGTTCTCTTCGCCCGAACAATCGGACCGAGGACCGAGTCGGACTCAGAAGCCGTCGAACTCGGACTGGGTCGAACCGGAGGCGACGGCGTGAGCCCTGCACTCCTGGCAACACCCGGCCACTAACCTCAGGTCGGGCATGTCCCCCTAGAGGCGGATTTCGAAGGAAGAATCAACCATATTCGAAACATACCAAAACATAATCCAAAATGGTCGGAACATCGCCCCCAGACTTTTTTTACTCTTCTTGAAGGCTTCTCCTGTAGAGGGACACGCCCGACTCAGCACTAGCCGGGGGCCACCGAGGGCCGCCGAAAGCGGCCGAGGGCCGCCAGCAGGGGCCACCGATGGCCGCCGGGGGCCGCCGATGGCCGTGGAAGGCCTCCGAAGGCCGCCGGGGGCCGGCGAGGGCGGCCGAGGGCGGCCGGGGGCCGCCGAGGGCGGCCGAGGGCGGCCGGGGGCCGCCGAGGGCCCTCGGCGGCCCCCGGCGGCCTTCCGCTAGCCGGGCCCCGACTCCTGCAGCAGCGCCTGCCCCGTGGCCGGCGCCGCGGCCGCGGCGGCGCGCCCGCCCGCTGAGGGGGCCTCGGCCGCGGCGGGGCCCCCGCCCGCGCCTGCCGCCGCGCGGGGCGGCGCGCGCGGCGCGGGCGCCGCGGCAGCCGGGGCGGCGCGGTCCTCGCCGTGGCCCTCGGACCCTCCGCGGGCGGCCCTCGGCGGAGGGGCAGAAAGAGCGGAAACGTTCGGAGCTCCGCGCGGTTGCGCTCCGATCGGCGAGGGGCCAGCGGATGCGCCCAGCGCGCGCGGAGCGCGCAGGGGCTGCGCCGGAGGCGACGCAGAGAGCAGGAACACCAGCCTCTGAATAACCGTCCCGCCAGGCCAGGCGAAGCCGTTCGGTGGACGCGCGCAGGCAAGGAATCGGGCGGGGCAAGACTGGCACACGCCCGGAGCCGTGGATGAAGCGCCGTTGATGGGGGTCGGGGCGATTCTTGGGAGAAGCAGTCGGTACCGATACGGTACTCCAGAGACCCCTCGCCAGAGATCTGCAGGGGCGCGCTATGACCAGGATCCAGAAGCGGATCCAGCGGGGGCGACGAGGGGGCACACCAGGATTGCCCACCAGGCAACACAAAGGAGGGAACGGTAGCGGTATATGGGTACCCTGAGATCCGACGTTGCAAAACAAATGCAACATCGCAAGAACGCGTTTCTGTATGTTCGGCGATGGCGGGCGTCATGGGGGGGAGGGCGGGGGGGTATGACGTAACGGGCCCCCCCCCCCCCCCCCGTGTGGCTCCGTCACCACAGCCGCGCCCGCGCGCACGACGCGACGAGCGATGAGCGACGACGACGACGACAACGACGACGACGACGACGCGAGCTTCATGTAGGTGGCGATCTGCCCCACTGCGCCTGTGTACACCACAACGCTCGCGTGCACCACAGCGCGCGTGTACACCACAACGCCTGCGTACATCGCAACAACCGTGTGCAACGCAGTGCCTGTGTACACCACAACGCTTGCGTACAATACAGCGCCGGTGTACACGCGTGCACCGCAACAACCACGTGCAACACAGCGCCCGTGTACACCACACAATGCTTGCGTGCCCGAGCAGCGCCCGTGCACGCCACGCCGCCTGTCTACACCACAACATCCGCGTGCAACGCAACGCTGGTGTGCACCACAGTGCTTCAGTGCATAGGACAGGTAGAAGGAGCATGTACACCGGACTCACTTCTATAGCGCTCACTTCTATAGTGCTCACTTTGAAATTGTGGTCCGGAAGGGGCCGCACATGCAGGCACATGCCGCATGCACATGCCCATGCAAATATACAAAAGCCTCAACAGCATTGCCGCACATGCGCGCACATGCCACACCGTCCGACGCACAGTCGAATGCACGGTCAAGCAAAACTCTGAAAGCATGGACGCACATGCCCGCACATGCCGCAGAGATGTCGCAGGCGATAGTGGCCTGACCACCTGAGCTCGGGGCATTTCGCAACCCACAGTTCCGAGGATGTCTCAGGCAAGCGTGGCCGGATCACCATGGGGCAGGGCATCTTGGAAACCAGAGTGGCGAGGATGTCGCTGGTCAAGGTGAACAGACGACCATGGGGCAGGACACCTCCGAGGTCTGAGTTGTGAGGATGTCTCAAGCGAAAGTGGCCTGACCACCATGGGGCAAGAGATCTCTGAGGTCAGAGTTGCGAGGATGTCTCTGGGGAGAGTGGTCTGACCACCTCAGCCCAGGGCATCTCGGAGCCCAGAGTTGCGAGGATGTCTCAGGCAGGACTGGCCTGACCACCTGCTCAGGGCATCTCAGAACCCAGAGTTGCGAGGGTCTCAGGCGAAAAAGGCCGAGACACTATGGAGCAGGGCATCATTGAGGTCAGAGTTGCGAGGATGTCTCAGGCAAAAGTGGCCTGAACAGCTCAACTCAGGGCATCTCGGGCGAGGATGTCTAAAGCGAAAGTGGTCTAACCACCTCAGCTCAGGGCGTCTCGGAACCCAGAGTTCCGAGGATGTCTCAGGCGAAAGGGGCCGAGACACTATCGAGCAGGGCATCATTGAGATCAGGGTTGCGAGGATGTCTCAGGCGACAGTGGCTGACCACCTCAGCTCGGGGCATATCGGAATCGAGACTTGCGAGGATGTCTCAGGCGACCGTGGCCTGACCAGCATGGGGCAGGAGATCTCTGAGGTCAGAGTTGCGAGGATGTCTCAGGCGAAAGTGGTCTAACCACCTCAGCTCAGGGCGTCTCGAAACCCAGAGTCCCGAGGATGTCTCAAGCGAAAGTGGCCGGGCCACCATGGGGCAGGGCATCTCCGAGACCAGAGTTGCGAGGATGTCTCAGGCGAAGGTGGCCAGATCACTTCATGTCAAAGCACGTCGGCCTCCAGATTGCCGACGACGTCTCACGCGGAACTGGCCGGACGCGAACGCGCCGGCGTCCGGAGACGAACGCCGGCCCCGGCATTCTTGCACGTCCCGCACATGCACTGCACAGGTACGCACAGTATTCGCACAGGCCGAGCTCGCCGGTGGCCGAGCCAGGCCAGCGATTCCGAGATTCCCTGAGCTCGGGCCGTCAAGCCACTTTCGCCTGAGACACCCTCGCAACTCTCACCTCCTCCTGCTCCTCCTCCTCCTCCTCCTCCTCCTCCTCCTCCTTCTCCTCTGGCCGAGCCGAACAGGCAGGCGGGCCGGCCGAGCCGGGGGCGCCCGCCTCCTCCGCCCCCCCCTCCTCCCCCCCCTTCCACCTCCCCCCCCCCGTCCCTGTTTCTCCGGCCGAGCTGAGAAGGCGCGCGGGAGAGTATTTTATTAGGCGGGCGCGCCACCGCCAGCTCACGAACCGGGCGAAGAACCGCCCCCGCCAGCAGCGGGCGAGTCTAAACGCACAACAAACTCTTTCAGGAAGCCCTGGCGCGCCCCAGTTTAGCTCTGCGAAGGCCAGGAAGCATTGGAGGCACAGGGGTCCCAGACAGCTCATAGGGCATGAGCGTGCATGTGCATTGGGATGTGCACGCATGTGCGCCCGCGCGCTTCACCGCATGTGCGTGCATGTGCGAGCCCGCGCGGCCTCCCGAAGAGAGGTTGCACAGGCATGTGCGTGCATGTGCCGATGACAGATCTGCGATTCTCGAACACCTCCCGCATGTGCAGGCATGTGCGCGCATGTGCGTCGGACTGTGCGTGCATGTGCGTATGATGGATACATCAAAACGCAGCGCACATGCCCCCGCACATGTCCGGGCACGACGTGCACAGTAGGAAGTCCATCCAAGAAGGACCGCACAGGCCTGGCACATGACTGGCACATGCCGCGCACATGCGCGCACATGACAGCGCAAAAACGGCCGCACATACACCCACCCAGAGGTATAGATGTGAGCGCGGTGTATGTGAGGACCTGCTGCGGACAACGAAACGCCACGCCGGGAAATTGCTGATAATAGAATGCGACGTTTTTCCCTCCTCCCTCTTCCTCCACCTCCACCTCCGCCTCCTCCTCTTCTTTTTCTTCCTCATTACCCCCTGTCGTGCGGGTTGGCGCTACAACGAACGTGCGCATCTCAGCGTGCACCGCGAATGTATACTGAATCGGTCTATTTGGTTCTCGGACGGCCAATTTATCTGGAACCTCCTGGACGCAGATGGGAGGAGTTAGGGTGGTGCGGGCGGACTCGGGAGGACTTGTAGATTCCAGCGGCGCTCCTTCGTCCATAAGGATTATTTGCTGTTTTCTGTGAAATCCACAAGCGCTCCATTTTGTCATAAGGATTCTTTTTGACATTCTATATGCAGCAGTGGTGCTGTGTTGCAAACGGTTGCTGCGGTGCACACAGGCGCCGTGGTGCACACGGGCATGGCAATGCGCGCAGACATTGTGGTGTACACTGGTGCTGTGTTGCACACGGCTGATGTGGTGTACCAGGCGCTGTGGTGTACACAATAGCTGTTGTGCCCGCAGGCACGGTGGCACAAATTGACGCTGTGTTGCACGCGGTTGCTGTGGTGTACATACGCGGTGTGGTGTACACAGGCGCTGTGGTGCGCGCAGGCACTGTGGTGTACACAGGCGTCGTGGTGCAGATCGCCACCTACATGCTGGTGCTACCAGTCCTTCGCCATCGCTGGGCTTTCACAGACGCCGCCGGCGCGAAACGTGACGTCATCGACCCCCTCCACCCCTCCATGATGATTGCCGTCGTCGGCCCCGAATAATAAAAAAAACAGGCTCCAGCCGCGCCCGCGCGCACGACGACGATGAGCGACGAGCGACGAGCGACGAGCGACGAGCCACGACGACGACGACGACGACGACGACGACGACGACGACGACGACGACGACGACGACGACGACGACGACGACTGCGGACAAGACTCTTATGCGGATTCCTACGCGGACACCCGCGCGGATCCCAATGCGCACAGCGGCAGCGCCCGTGCACGGAGCGCACTGGTGGGGGGGGCGTTACGTCATGGGGGGGGAGGGGGGGGGGCGGGGGCCATGACGCCCGTCATGCCCCATGCCCCATGACGCCCGTCATGCCCGCCATGCTCCAAAAATCACGTCCGGAGCCCTGGACCTCATTTGTCTGCATCATTTTTCAAGCCCGATCGATCTGTGAGGGTCCCAGGGCCCGAAATCGAGTGAAAACGCCCGTTGCCCCAAAAAATCGCAGCGCCAGGACCTCAGGGGACCTTCTCCTCCTCCGCGCATTCCTCCTCCCCGGACCTGGGGCCCGCGTGCCGCTGCAGCCGCGCCCTCCGCTCCAGCCGGCGCCGCTCCCAGTCGTCGTCCTCGGCCAGGTCCCCGCCGCCCTCCGGCGCCGCTCCGCCCTGCGCCGGCCCGGCCTCCGCCGCGCCGCCCTCCGCGGCGGCGCCGCGCGGCGGCGCGCGCCGCGGCGCGAGCGCGGGGCGGTCGGCGGCGCTGGAGCCCTCCTTGCACGGGGGCGCCGACTGCACACCTGCACCCCGGTGCTGGCCCGGCGCAGCCTGGGCCCAAGGGATGGGGCAGGTGCGCTCTCCTGGCTGGCCCGGGGGTGCTTCGGGCAGATCCGATCCCGGGCCGAGGGCTCACAGCCCCCCCGCCACATGGGAGGAGCCCAATGGATCCATAGCCCCACCCCCCACCCGAATAGGACAGGGGGGAGGACGACGACAACGACGACGACGACGACGACGACGACGACGACATTCGTTCGTTCGTTCCTTCGTTAGGCGTCATACGGTGGTGGCCCAGGCCCCGACGCTGCAACTGGGCTGGAGTGCCATATGCTGGCGGCTGCCGATACATCATCTTGAATGGGCTCGCCAATCAACCCACGTTTTCTGTGTATCCATCCAGGAGTGGGCGGCATAGGGCTGTGGGAGCCAATCGAAACCGTAGACTTTCTAAGAATCTCGTTCCGACCGTTTTGTGGTGCTGCTGAAATTTTGCCAACACTCTATTGTGCTGTTCCACGCCCGACCTTTGCGCCTGAGAATTGCATGGGCTAATCTATCGGACGGTTCGTGGGCAAAGTCTCGGAGGTGGCCCGCTCAAGAGTGAGAGGAAGGGCGAACAAAACTGGGTCCAAGCTTCGACCTCGACACGAAAGCGTGCATCTTGCGTGCACTTTCGCGAAAGACGTGGCAACGTTCAGATATTCCGCGGCGTTGTCTGCGCGACGGGGGCTGGATCTGTCTGCGCAGAATCGCACTATTCCCACAACCGCGCTTGCACCTAGAGGTTTCCACGTGTTTTCTAAAGAATTGGGCCTGTGCGTGGGTCCGGCGATTATGTTGTCGCCGTCGCCGCCGCGTCGCCGCCTCGTCGCCGCCAATCGTATGGGCATGTGCTTCGGTCTGGTTGCTATGTAGTCGCCGTAGCCGCCGCGATGCCGCCCTCGCCGCTCGTCGCCGTTGTTAGATTGTACCACGTAGGTTGCTTGGCGGCGTTTCGCGTTGCATTGAATTGTTCCGCGTTGCCTCGCAATTCTGTGACTGCTGGATTGCACAACGTAGGTTGCACTGCACATTTTGCACCACAAATAGATGTCGACATGAAAAATATTATGATCTACCCCGCCCCTCCGTCTTATCGCAGTTTTCTGGGGGCGTGCAATATACCTACGATTATGCCCCATCGTTCAGGCGAATCATGAACTGAGTTCGGTCCAACCAAATCGGGCTTGACACCCCCCGAAGTCATCCATTGCAAACACTACCATGGGCGCGCACTGGTTCATCAAAACCAAATAATTGCAATAATCATTATGCACATCTGGACAACATACACGCGCGCGTCGCGCGCGCATGCCAACATCCGCCAACAGCGCATATCAACAACAACTGTTGTGCAACACCGGCGTCTCAAAACGGGCACGATCTTAAGATGTTGTCCCTACGCGCCGCTAAGCAGGCATCTCGCGCGCGCGACGAAATTGTTCGCACGCCCTTGCGAGCGTGCTGGGGGGGGCGCGATCCTTGTCAAACAACACCATGCAGGACACTCGCGCGCGTCGGCCGCTCGCGCATGTCGGAATATTTCCAGCACTTTCGCCACCGACATGTGGACGTCATCGTCGTCGTTGGCGCGAACAGTACCGGCGCCGTCATCGGTTTCGCCGTCGTCAATGCCATCCATCATCGCCACCTACACCTCTACTATCATCATCCTGGCCGCCGTTGTCGACGTCGCCGTGATACCGCGCCCGCCCGAGCCACCGACTCGCACTGAAGTGCCAGCGTTTCAGCTCGGTTTGAAGGACGTGCTGGGAAGTGCCCAGCGGTCAACGCTACCGCGGCCGCGTCGATCGCGCCAGAGTAGCAGTCAGCTGTGGGCGCGAGCCTGCGCGAGTTAGCGCGGCCGCAGTGGTGCGCCAGCCCGAGCTTAACAGCCATTACAAGTTCCACCCCATGGGTTTTGCAAACCAAACTGCGGGTGGGTTGGTGGGATAACTGCGCGAAAAATGGAACTGGCAACTCGATTTTTTCTAAACTGGATTGCGCCACGCAGGTTGCACCACGTAAATTGCACCACTTGGATTGCGCCGCATCGATTGCACCGCGTGGATTGCGCACCGCATAGATGGCACCACGTAGATTGCACCGCCGACTGCACTGGGCACGCGACACAGCATAGGCTGCACAACCTAGCAACATAAATTTGCACAACCTGAGCTGCACAACATTGACATGCCCCCGTATACGCACACGCATATATGTATAGACGGGTAAATGTACAAGTATATTTAAATACGATGTATAAATATACATCGACAGAACACCCCCCGACACCCATTCTACGCCTTCCTCACTTTCACGAGGCTAGAATCTTGCCGCTCCCCTCCTTTCTCCCTTCCCTCTCCGCTCCTCTTCTTCTTCGCTGTTCGCCCGCAGCCGCCAGCAGCGCATTTTCAATTAGCGCCGAGGTCACAGATGTTAGCGTTTGTTTTCTCAACGTAGAGGACAACAAGCGAGTGAGCCATCCTGTATACGAGAAACCAGCAAACCCTCTGATTTCACTGGAAATCCGTCGATTTCTGGGATGCAAATCAGCGACGCCCTGCGATTTCATTTGGCGGGCGTGGTCTTACAAGCCCGGCTGGGCCAGGATTTTTTTTGTGCTCTTTAAAAAGAAACAAGGACAGACGCCTCTCTGCTGCTGCCGGAGGCCTCAGGCTGAGTAGTCCAGAGGCTCTCCACGAGACCCTAAATTGATGGCGCCAGGGCGCTTGGGGCCTCAAGGCCCTTGGTTCCTGGGCACAGCAGGCACAGGCACAGCAGGCACAGGCACCTCCTCCCCTCCCCCTGCCTGCCCGAGGCAACGTAGTGAAATGGGAAAGTGCAATAGAATAGGGCTAGCAGACTAAGCCAGAACCCCCCCCCCTTCCCTGGGGCAGTATCGGGATTGTAGTCAAATGGGGCATCCTATCTCCCACATTCTGACCTTCCTGGGTTCAATTCCTGGTGGTGCCTGTGGGGCGTGCTTGCGGGGGGATTGCAGTTGACATTTCAGGGGAAATCACTGTAGAAAGGATTCTGTGCAAGTAAAGCCTTTTTGATCTCTGTAGAGCTTTGCGTACCGAGGAATTCTGGGATTTAGACAAATGAGCGCCGTGTGCGGGGACGCGCTGCGCAGAGGCAAGAAATCCCCAATTCGGGGCCCCTGGATGGAACCTAAGGGCCCCCTGGCTGTCGTCGCGGTCGCTGTTCGCCGTCGCGGTTGTCGCGCTTGGCGTGGCTTGCGCTGCGGGGAATGCCGTCGGGGGCCGTCGCCGCCCTAATGTCGGCGCTGCTGGTCGTGGAGCGGGCGCTGCGGGAAGCCCAGCGCGGGGCCTTGAGCCAGGAGCCGCAGCTGCGTTGCAAGCCAAGATAGCAACTGAGAAAGGAGGAGGGGGAGACCAGGAGGAAAAATCCTCTTCCTCCTCCCTCTTCCTCCCTCTTCCTCCCTCTTCCCCCCTCTCCCTCCCCCAGCGCACATGGAGGCATCGACGGACCAAGAAGCCACGTCGCAACGGCCTCATTTTTGACGCGCCGCTCTTTGCGACGCTCCTCCCTCGTTCGGACGCGCACGCGCTTGCACCTCATCTCGAGGGCGGCGGCCACGTCGCCCGGGGCGCACGCCCCGCAACGAGCGCGCAACTTGCCCTCGCAGATCCGCCACCGCGCCCGCGCGTTGAGGCGTGGAAGAAGGCCAAGGGCTGTCTGGCAGGGCTTCTGCAGTCCTCCAAGGGCCCCCCCCACCCACCAGGGCGCAGATAGCCGACTGCACCACCCCTGCTCGCGGGGGGTGCCTGGGCGGCCATGGCGCCTCCTTGGGGCTCTCCAGGGCTTCCACGACGGCCCAGGACGCCCACCCAGGCCACCAAAATAACCCAGGATGCCTCCAAAACGGACCAAGATGGCCTCCAGACGGCCCAGAAGGCCTCCAAGACGCCCCAGGAGGCCTCCAATAGCCCTGCCAAGAAGTCCCCAGGAAGCAAAATCCATTGATTTCCTTACGTTTTTGAAGGATTTGGGCATACTCGCTTTTTCGGCTTCCCGACGCTCCAAAACGACCCAAGAGGCCTCCCAAATCGCCCCAAGACGGCCCAAGAGGCCCCCCAAGAAGGCCCCAAGACGGCCCACGAACGCCCCAAGACGGCCCCACGAACTCACAACCCAGGCGCGGTGGCGGACTTGCCGTAGGCAGCTGGTTGGGGCACGTTGCCGCGTGCACGATCTCGATGGCGCGGCGCAGCCTCAGGAACGGCTGCCTAAGCCAAGCCACGCCCTCGGCAGGCCCGCCCTCGTCGTCGGCCGCCGCCGGCGGCGGCGGCGGGCCGTCGGCCGGCGCGGGCGGCGCGACCGCCGCCGCCGCCACCGGGCCACTGGCCGCCGCGGCCGCTGCGTCCGCCGACGCCGACGGCGACGCAGACGAAGCCGCGGGCGACGCCGAGGACGACGACGAGGACGACGGCGACGAGGCTGCAAGGACATGGAGGGCTTGCAGGTCGTCCTCGGCCTCCCGGAGCTGGCGCCGCAGCCGCTCTATGCGGACCTCCGCGGCCTCGATGGCCGCGGAGGTCGCCACCGGGGTCGCTGGGGCCGCCGGCGCCGGCGCCGAGTGCAGGGACGGCCGCGCAGGCGCAGGCGGCGGCGCCTGGAGGGCGACAAAGGAGCGGGACAGGGGAGGGGAAGGGGGAGGGACGGAGGAAGGAGAGGGAAGCGAGGGAGGGGGGAAGGAAGGAGGCAAGGAGGGAGGAGGGAGGGAGGGGGTAGGGAGAGGAAGCACTGAGGGTGCGGCTGAAGAGGAAACCTGAGGGGAAGGGTTGCGGAGAAGTGTTGAAGAGGAGGGTTCGGGAGAAGCGTTACGGGTCAACTGGGCAGGAAGAATCAGGAGAACAGGTAGGAGCACTAAGGAGGAGAGGCCCAGAGGATTCATTGATAGGGCTGGGGAAGAAGACCACGACGGAGGGCCGATGGGGAAGGCTTGACGGGGAGGGTCGAGGAGGAGGGTCGACGAGGACGGGAAGATGGAGGACTGAGAGTGAGGATGAGAGGAGGCGGAGGGGGATGAGGTGGTTTAGAGCTGTTCTTCTTCCATCTTCCCCTCTTCGCCTTCGGGGACGACCCCCCGCCCCTGGACCTGGACGGGGGGTGCCACGACCGATTCGAGCGTCCACGATTGCCCAATATGGCTCCAAGATGGCCTCAGGGAGCCCAAGACGACCTCCAAGATGGCTCAAAATGTCCGAAGATGCCTCGATATGGTTTCCAAGATGATCCAAAAGGGCCCAATACCGCTCCAAGACAGACAGACAGACAGACAGACAGACAGACAGACAGACAGACAGACCGACACACACACACAGACACACACACACACACACACACACACACACACACCTCCCCCCCCCCCCCTTCCCCACCCTCCCCCTACGCACCGAACCCTCCAACTCTAAAACCTAGTCATGACCTGTGTGTGTGTGTGTGTGCGTGTGCGTGGGGGTGGTGGTGGTGGTCGGGGTGGTCGGGGTGGGCGGGGGTGGTGTGCGTGGTGGTTGTGGTGGGTGGTGTGTGCGTATGTGGGTGGGTGAGTGGGAGGTGGTGGTGGTGGTGTGGTGTTGGTGGCGTGCGTGGTCGTGGTGGCGGCGGCGGTGGCGGCGGTGCGCGTGCGCGCGCGGGTGGTGGCGCGCGCGGGCGGGTGGGCGGCGTCTGCGGCCCCAGACGCCCATGGCCGTGGAAGCCGCGGGGGCCCGAACCCCAGATGCCCTGAACCCCTGGGCCCTGGAAGACCCTGACCTCAAGGGGCCGCGGGGGACCTCGGGAGCAGGAGCCTCCAACACCTGTGGCCGCTAATGCCCTGAGAGGCCGCGGGCGCCCCAGGCCCGCGGGACACAAGAGGCTCGGGGCGTTTTTTGAAGAGTGTGGGACGGGCGCCTCGCCGGCGAGCGCTGCAGACGGACGGCCCGCTCCTTGAACGGGGGGCGCTCTTGGAGAAAAAGCAAAAGGCGACGCACGGGTGGGCGGTGGGAGGGGGGCCGGCCGCGTGCCTGGGGCAGGCGCCTGCCTGCCCCGTTCGACCCAAGCGGGACGGGGCTTCGCCGCTGGGGCGCGCCTGGGGCAGGCACCTGCCTGCCCCGCCCCATCCGCGCGAGGGGAACTTGCGGCGGCGGAGGGGGAGTGAGTGCACGAGGGGTAGAGAGGGCGAGATAACTTCAAAAGTACCAGTGCAGGGCCTGCCAGCCTGAACGTGCAAACGGGGCCACGAATAGAGACGTTGCCTGTGCCTGCAGGGGGGAGCCCCGGTTTTACCGCGAAGAAAAAAGCGTACCAGGGCTGCAGACACGACCCCGTAGCCAAGCCGCAGAGAAACGCTCTGCGCTTAGCCGAATTGGGGAGAGGGACTGAGGGCACTTCCGAGACGAAGGAAGAAGGCAAGAGCTGGAGAGGCCGAACGCTCCGTGGGCTACCCCGGTCGTCCTTAGGCAGGGCCCAAAGCTTCGTGATGTGTTCTCCCTCGCTCCGTGGCGGTCCCCATATCTTTGCTTCCGTCTGCGTGACCCTACCCGATCACTGGCTTTGGGCCCACCGCGCATCTGGCAGACGTCGGCATTGCTGCCAACGCCCGCGCACGTATCCTAAAGGTTCCCGACGCTCCCACGGCGCGTCTTCCCCCTTGGGGGGCTGGCGCTAATTGTTTATAGTTTTTTCAGGTCTTATGGCAGGCTGGTGAAACGGTGAGAAAAGGAACAGTGAAAGTGAAACGCAATAGTGAAACGCAGAGTGAAACACGGCAGTGAGACGCGAGACGCTAACTGAGCCGAACCCCTCTCCACTCAGGAGGCACGGTGCCGCCGAGGACTGTCAGGTCCCCGCGCTGAAAGGGCGGGTACCGGGGCGGCCGCGGGCTCGGCGGGGCGGGCGGCTCCGCCGCGCGCTGGGCGCGCTCCTCCTCCACGAAATGGTGGAAGTTGCTCTGCATCTGCCTCGCGGGGTCGAGGCGCGGGTCCGGGGCCCCCAACGGCAAGCCCAGGCGAATGCCCTGGGCCGCGGGGGACGGCCGGAGCCTCTTGAAGGCGCGGCCGCCCGCTCTGCGCCCGCCGCCGGCCGCCCCCTCTGGCGCGGGCCCGGGCGCCGCAGCGGGGGGCGGGTCCGCGGCCCCGGCGGGGGGGCCGGCCGCCGCGGCCGCGGGGGCAGCCGCGGGGGGAGCGGCGCCGGGGCCGCCCCGCTGGCGCGCCGCGGCTGAAGCGCCGGCAGCCCTCTTGGCCTTCGCCCGCGCCTTCTCTCGAGCGGCCGCCCTGCAGGCTTCCTCGGCGAGGGCCTTGTCCCGCCGGGCCCAGGCGCTGCCCGCGGGCGCATCTGGCGGGGACGGGCCCTGCAGGGAGAGGTCCGCGGCCCGCTGCGCCCGCAATGCCGCCAGCGTGTTGCCGAGGTAGGCGAGCATGTTGGCGGACGGCGTGGCGCGGTAGGCCCACTGGTGCACCAGCACGGCCTGCGCCACCGCCTTCGCCAAGGACGTGTTGACGCCTCGGTGGGCCCCGCCGCGACGCAGATTCCGCCAGTGCCCGTCGACGGTCTGCGTGCCCCCCTTGCGCCACGTCCACTCGCCCGGCGCATCTGGCGGGCCGTCCCACTGCCCCGCGCGCGGGTCCACCGCCGCGACGTCCGCCGCGTCGTCCGGGTGGACGTGGACGAGTCGCATGGCGGTGAATTCCCGCTCCACGCGCCCCGCCAACTTACGCGAGTGGCACACGGACGTGTGGCAGAGACGCAAATGGCGGTACTTGGCCGCCCACTCCTCCGAGCGGTCCCGCCAGTCCCGCCGCTCTGCCGCGCACCGGGCCAGGCACTCCCGGAAGTTTTCGCGCCTCCACTCCCCGGGGAAGAACACGGCGGCGGCCACTTCGTCCTCGGCAGATGGAACAGGCGGCGCATCGTGGGCCGTCCGCCAGTCCAAGTTCCGGTACGCCCGCGCGCCGTCCGTGTGCACGATGGTCCCCGGGCGCAGCAGGGGCGGGCCGCCGGTGCTCGGCCGGAGGATGAACTCGTGGAGCTCCTCGTGGGAGAGAGCCCCGCCACCTCCTTGTCCCTGGCCCACAGCGAACCGGGGGGGGAGCGCCATCAGGACCAGCTTGCCCCCGTGGCGCTCGTGGGCCGCGATGTACCGGTGCCACTCGCGGCCCCACGCGCCGTCGGCGCCCTCCGCCCACCGGGCGCGGAAGCAGACCTCGTCGATCTCGACCTCCACGCCCGGCCCGCCGAGCTGCTCGGTGGAGTTCTGCCAGGACTGGAACTCGGCCACCGTGTCCCGGGCGTCCTGGACCCACCCCTCCACGAGGCGCTTGTGGTCGAGCCAACAGTCCACAGCCAGCTCCTCCGTCGTGGGCTCCAAGCTCCTCGCCCACCGGCAGAAGAGCGACGCGTTCTGGCGCAGGGAATATTTCCCGCACCAGATTTCTGCGTCGAGCCCGACGGCTCGCGTGGCCTGGCACCGCCCGCACCGGTAGTGCGCCGTCTCCCTGCGCACGGCGACCTCGCGGCCGCCGATGCGCACGGCCTGCGGCCCCGCGCCCTCAATGCCAGAGCGGGCCGCCTGCTGGCTCTCCCTGAGGCGCACCTCCTGCTGGGCGCCCGGCGCGCCGCAGCCGTCCGCGTCGCACGCGGCCCTCTGGGGGAGGATGCCGCAGTCTTCCAGGGCGGCCACGACGTCCGCGCCGTCGATGAGGTCCGCCAGGACCTGCGCGCAGAGGGGGCGCGACGCCTTCCCCTTCCGCGCTAAGTGCTTGTGGCGCACTCGGCCTTTGGCCGTCGGCCCGCCGTACGGCACCTTTTCAGCGAAAGGGCGGAGGAGCCGGCGGGGGCCGATGGACGCGCGAGCGCGCGCCACCGCATCCCGCTGCGACTCGGGCACATCGCCGTCTGCCGCGTCCAGGAGCGCCACCACCTCGTGGGGGATGGCGTCGTCCGGGTGGGCGGCGGCGGGCTCCTCTGCGGCCTCCAACCCCTCGGCCTCCTCCCCCACGGGCGCCGCCCGCCGCTTGCTGCCCCCCCGCCAGCCGCCCTGGCCGCCTCGGCGAGGCAATGGCAAGTCGGCGGCGGCCTCCGCCCACGCGCAGACAAGGTCTGCCATGGCGTCGTCGCCCGAAGCGTCGCCGTCGGGGCCGCCCGCCGCCTCCCCCGCCGGCGCCTCCTCGCGAGCGGACGGGCCGAACTGGATCGCCGCGTCCTCGCGGTCGGCGCCCCCGCCCGCCGGCCGCTCCAGAGGCCTCTGCCCGCTCGCGGCCCCGCGGGCTCGGCACTTGTCGGCCGCGGGAATGCCGCGGCGGAGCAGCGCCCGGTGCGGCGGGCCAGGGGCCGCCTGCCCCTTGGCCCTGGCCTTGGCCTTGGCCTTCCCCTTGGCCTTCGCCTTGGCTTTGGCCTTCGGCGCCACCGCGCTCGGCGCCACCCCCGGGTCCTCCGACGACTCGAAGTCGCCGAAAATGTCCGCCATGGGATCGACATCCGCCACGGCGGCGGCGGCGGCCGCGGCCACGTCAATGGCCGAGGGCCGGTCCTCCGGGCCATCCGCCGACCGCGGCCCCCCCTCTTCCTCCGGCGACGTGACAATTGGCGTAGGGTGCTCCGCCATGTCGATGGCGTCCTGCAACAGCGTCGGCACGGGCGTGCTGTCGCTGTCACTGGCCGCGGGCGCGGCGCCAAGCGGCGCGGCGGCGGCGGCGGCCGCGGAGGCGGTCACGCAGCCGCGGCAGATCAGCGCCTCGCAGGTCGAGCAGTGATGCAGCCAGCCGCCTCGGGCCCCCTCGCCGCAAGCGCCGCAGGCCTCCCCTCCGAGGGTCCGCGTTGCGAGGAGCGGGCCTTGGCAGCTCGGGCACGCCAGAGGGGGGCCCGCGGCCGCTCGCCCCTGCCGGGCCTGCTGATGGCCAGACATGGCGGCCAAGAAGAAGTTGTCGAGTCGACCGCGAATGCTAGAGGGGAGACGCCCACCTCTGCGTCAGTCCTAAGCCACAATGGCCACGGCATCGCGATGGTGATAGGAATGGTGATAGCCCAGACGGCTGTGCCATGCAAAGCAGTGCCCAATTTCCATGCAACATTCCACAATGCAAAGCAATTCAGCGCAACGACAAGCACTGCGCAGCAGCGCAAAGCAATGCCAAGGCCACGCGAAGCAACGCGGTGGTGGTGGTGGCGGTGGTGGTGGTGGGGCGGGGCGGTGCGGGCGGGGGGCGGGGGGGGGGCGAGGGCGGGGTGTGGGCGGGGCGGGGGCGCGCGGACCTCCGACCATTGCAACGCAACGCAATGCAACGCGAAACAAAGCAAAGCAAAGCAAAGCAACGCAACGCGTAGCAACACCCAGCTATGCAATGCAATGCAATGCGGTCCCTGCATTTTGGCTGCATCGCTTGGTCGCGTTACTTTAAAGATTCCCCCGTGATCGAGCAAGGACTTGTATGGGAGGGTTAAAGGGAGCGTGGCAGGGATGCACCATCCTCCATTCCGATCCTCTTCTTCCCCCCTCTCCTCATCCACTCCTTCTGGGAGTTTGGACGCTGCCCCTGATCCCCCCCCGTCTAGGGGAGCAGCTGTGAGCAGGGCAATCAGCGAGACTACAGTCAGAGCGTTGAAATAAGGAACACCTTTGGCTCTGGAGGGGCTCCCATTTCTGGGCCGTTCCTTGGGCCGTCGTTGGGGAACCTGTTCATGCTCGAGGTCCGCCGTGGCCGAAGTAGAGATCCCAAAAACCACCCAAGTAGAGATCCCAAAAACCACCCAAGTAGAGATCCCAAAAACCACCCAAGTAGAGATCCCAAAAACGACCAAAGTAGAGATCCCCAAAACGACCAAAGTAGAGATCCCGACCCCAGCTGCTCGGACCCCCCTCTAGACGGCTCAGGAGTAGGTCGGGCATGTCCTCCTGCAGGCGGGGCTTGGACGCAACATATGACACGTTACTAGAACATGGCTCCCAACTAAGATGCCCAAGAGTGCTCCAGACATCGTCCCCGAACGTCTCGTGGACTATTTTGGGGCACTCCTCCTGTAGAGGGGCGCGCCCGACTCAAGGCCAAAATCTCCGGGTGCGCCTCTTTGGAGTCCCAAAACGGTGCGGTGACAGACCGTGCGGTGACCTCGGAATCCTCCAAGACCTCACCGCACGGTCCGTCACCGCGCGGTCTTGGGACCCCGGAGGCCCCCGTCGCCCGAGACATCCTCGGAAAACGACCCGAGTCCCAAAACCGCGCGGTGGCCCCGAGTCCCCACCGACTCGCCGCACGGTGTGGTCACCGCCCCGTTTGGGGCCCCCCGAGCCTCCAGAAACTCGCACGCCGCCCGCAGGGCCGGCGCGGCGTCCGCCTCCGCGCGGCCTTCCGGCGCCAGCGCGCGTCCCAGGGCGGCGCAGAGCTCCTCCGCTGCCGGGGCGGCAGCCGGGGCCATGGCGGGCCCGCGCCCAGGCTCGAGGAGTGTGGCAGGAAGGGCTCTCGGCGATGGGGGAGCCTCGCTTGAGTAGACCACACCTCGGCGAGAACGGCCCAGGACCGAAACCGACGGACCTGGGCCCGCACAAGGTGACGGCCGCGACGCCCTCCCGCGAACCGACAACGGCCAATTCGCTCCTCGACGTGTCAGGGTGGGAGGTATATCAACCTCCTCCCCCTCCTCCTCCTCCTCCTCCTCCTCCTCCTCCTCCTCCTCCTCCACCCCCGAATGTGGGCTGCATTGGAAGGGTAGGTATGCGGGGAGGCGGGCTCATAGGAATATTGATGTCATGGTGTAACCGTCAGATTCCTCGATCAGACTTCACATTGCAGGGCGCATGACATGGCTGGGTTCAATTCCACCTTCCCGTCCCGCGCTGCCCGCTCCACAGGAGGTGGGCCCACTCCCACGCCTGCCAGGCGCGGGCCTGCGGGAGGTGGGCCCGCGCCCATGCCGGCTAAGCGCGGGCCCACGGGGGGTGGGCCCGCTCCCACGCCTGCCAGGCGCGGGCCCGCGGGAGGTGGGCCCGCTCCCACGCCTGCTAGGCGCGGGCCCACGGGAGGTGGGCCCGCTCCCACGCCTGCTAGGCGCGGGCCCGCGGGAGGTGGGCCTGCCCCCACGCCTGCTAGGCGCGGGCCCACGAAGGGTGGGCCCGCCCCAGCGACTGCTAACTTGGCCCCGCAGGAGGTGGGCCCGCTCCCACGCCTGCTGGGCGCGGGCCCGCGGGAGATGGGTCCGCCCCCACGCCTGCCAGGCGCGGGCCTGCGGGAGGTGGGCCCGCGCGCGCGCCTGCTAGGCGCGGGCCCACGGGAGGTGGGCCCGCTCCCACGCCTGCTGGGCGCGGGCCCGCGGGAGGTGGGCCCGCTCCCACGCCTGCTAGGCGCGGACCCACGGGAGGTGGGCCCACGCCTGCTGAGCGCGGGCCCACGGGAGGTGGGCCCGCCCCACGCCTGCTAGGCGCGGGCCCACGGGCGGTGGGCCCGCCCCCGAGTGCGGGCTGCATTGAAGGGGCAGGAATGCGGGGAGGCGGGCCATAAGAATACGCACGACATGGTGCAGCGGCCAGGTCCCTCGATTAGACTTCGCCCGGCAGGGCGCCTGGCGTGGCTGGGTTCAACTCCGCCCCCCCCCCCACCCCACCCCGCGCGGCCCGCTCCACGGGAGGTGGGCCCACTCCCGCGCCTGCTAGGCGCGGGCCCACGGGAGGTGGGCCCGCCCCCACGCCTGCCAGGCGCGGGCCCACGGGAGGTGGGCCCGCCCCCACGCCTGCTAGGCGCGGGCATCCCAGGAGGTGGGCCCGCTCCCACGCCTGCTGGGCGCGGGCCCGCGGGGGGTGGGCCCGCCCCCACGCCTGCTAGGCGCGGGCCCAAGGGAGGTGGGCCCGCCCCCAAGCCTGCTAAGCTTGGGCCCGCGGGAGGTGGGCCCGCTCCCACGCCTGCTAGGTGCGGGCCCGCGGGGGGTGGGCCCGCTCCCACGCCTGCCAGGCGCGGGCCTGCGGGAAGTGGGCCCGCGCCCACGCCTGCTAAGCGCGGGCCCACGGGAGGCGGGCCCGCTCCCAAGCCTGCTGAGCGCGGGCCCGCGGGAGGCGGGCCCGCTCCCACGCCTGCTAAGCTTGGGCCCGCGGGCGGCGGGCCCGCTCCCGCGCCTGCTAGGCGCGGGCCTGCGGGATGCGGGCCCACTCCCACGCTTGCTAGGCGCGGGCCCACGGGAGGTGGGCCCGCGCCCGCGCCTGCTAGGCGCGGGCCCACGGGAGGTGGGCCCGCTCCCGCGCCTGCTAGGCGCGGGCCCGCGGGAGGTGTTCCGCGCCCAAGCCTGCTAAGCGCGGGCCCACGGGGGGTGGGCCCGCTCCCACGCCTGCTGGCGCGCGGGCCCGCGGGAGGTGGGCCCGCTCACGCGCCTGCTAGGCGCGGGCCCGCGGGGGGTGGGCCCGCCCCCACGCCTGCCAAGCGCGGGCCCACGGGCGGTGGGCCGCGCCCACGCCTGCTAGGCGCGGGCCCGCGGGCGGCGGGCCCGCTCCCACGCCTGCCAGGCGCGGGCCTGCGGGAGGTGGGCCCGCCCCCGCGCCTGCCAGGCGCGGACCCACGGGAGGTGGGCCCGCTCCCACGCCTGCTGGGCGCGCGCCCACGGGGGGTGGGTCCGAGCACGTGCTTACCCGAAGCTTGCCCCACGCCTACCCCAAGCCTACCCTAGGCTTACCCTACGCCTGCCCTGCGCCTACCCGAGGCTTGCACTAGGGCAAGCCTAGGCTCGCCCTGCCGACCTGGGCGCCGATGAGCGTCACTTTCCCATCAGCCGCTTTGACATTTTGCCTCACTCCCCCCACCGCACCATGCGCAGCCGTGGATACAATCGAATGCACTGGAACTTCCTGAGCGGGCCCGCCCCCGCGCCTGCTAGGCGCGGGCCCACGGAAGGTGGGCCCGCCCCCGCGCCTGCTAAGCGCGGGCCCCGCGGGGGGGTGGGCCCGCTCCCACGCCTGCTAGGCACGGGCCCGCGGGAAGTGGGTCCGCCCCCACGCCTGCCAGGCGCGGGCCTGCGGGAGGTGGGCCCGCGCCCACGCCTGCCAGGCGCGGGCCCACGGGGGGTGGGCCCGCCCCCACGCCTGCTAAGCGCTAGGCGCCCCCGCAGCCTCCAGAGGCTTTCCAGGAGACCCTGAATTGATGGCGCCAGCGAGCTTGGGGCCGCAAGGTCCTTGGCTTCTGGGCACAGCAGGCACAGGCACAGCAGACACAGGCATCTCCTCCCCTCCCCCCGCCTGCCTGAGGCAACGCAGTGAAATGGGAAAGTGCAATAGAATAGGGCGAGCAGACTACGCAATAACCCCCCCTTCCTTGGAAGAATATCGACATCGTAGTCAAATGGGGCATTTCACCTCCCACATTCTGACCTTCTTGGGTTCAATTCCTGGTGGTGCCTGTGGGGCCTACTTGCTGGAGGTTGTCATGGCATTGACAGTGACATTTCAGGGGAAATCACTGTAGAAAGGATTCTGTGCAAGTAAAGCCTTTTTGATCTCTGTAGAGCTTTGCGTACCGAGGAATTCTGGAATTTAGATAAATGAGCGCCGTGTGCGGGGACGCGCTGCGCAGAGGCAAGAAATCCCCAATTCGGGGCCCCTGGATGAAACCTAAGGGCCCCCTGGGGCCCCCATGCAAGGTAGGCGCCTGGCACAGGGCCCCCCTGTCAGGCGCAGATGCGCGCTACCCTCTGGTGTGCCTGCAAGGCCTTGAGGCTGCAGCCCTCACTGGGACAAAAATGCAAAACAAATAGGGGGCGCTGCCCCTGCTGCTGCTGCTGCTGGCCATTGCTGCCACAAGCGTGGCCACCGCCACCGCCACCACTGCGAAAGCCGCCGCCACCGCTGCCGCCGCAGCCGCCACCCCTGCCGCTGCCTCTGGCATTGCCACCCAGGCCCGCCGCCGCCGCCGCCACTGCTGCGCCGACAGCCACCACCCCCCGCCGCTAAACCGCCAGCGAGAACCAACCCTCCACCGCCACTGGCCAGCAAACAAACAAACGCGCCTGCCCCGGGCACGCCGCAGCCACTACCACCACCGCAGCCACCGCCCCTCGCCCCCCGCCCAGCACTGCCCCGCCACCATCTCCGCCCCCGCCGCAGCTGCGAACACTGCCCCCGCCACGGCCCCACCACCCGCCCCGCCCGCCCCCGCCGCCTACACCACAATCACTCCCACTGCCGCTGGCGGCCCTGCCGCCACCGCCCGCCGCCGCCGCTTGCCCGAGGCACCCAACACCGCGGCCCCCAGATCCTCTTCAGCCCCAGTGGCGGCCGCGCTCGCCGCCGCCGCTGCTGCCGCCACCGCCACCGCCGCCGCCGCCGCCCATGCAGAACCACTACCAACACCGCGGCGACGACAGCCACCGCCCCCACCACGGCTGCCGCCACCGCTGCCACCACTGCTGCCACCGCGCACGCCACCGCCACCGCCACCACCACCACCACCACCACCACGACGACGACGACGACGACGACCGCCACCACTACCACCACCACTGCAACCACTACTCCCACCGCCACTACCACCACTACCAATACTACTACTACTACTACTACTACTACTACTACTACTACTACTACTACTACTACTGCTACTACTACTACTACTACTACTACCACACTACTACTACTACTACTACTACTACTACTACTACTACTACCACTACAACTACTACTACTACTACTACTACTACTACTACTACTACTACTACTACTACTGCCACTACTCCTACTACTACTACTACTACTACTACTACTACTACTACCACTACCACTACCACTACCACTACTACTACCACCACTACTACTACTACTACTCTTGCTGCTACTACCACCACTGCCACAACTACCACCACCACCGCCACTACCACTACTACTACTAACTACTATCACCGCTACTACGACTACCGCTGTTTCTACTACTACTGCCACCACCACTACTACCCCTACTACTACTACTACTACTACTACTACTACTACTACTACAACTACTACCACTACTACTACTACTACTACCACTACTACCACGACGACGACGACTACGACGACTACGACGACTACTACTACTACTACTACTACTACTACTACTACTACTACTACTACCACCATTACTGCCACTAATACTACGACTACTCGGCTTACCCGAGGCCTACTTTAAACTTACCCTGGGCCTACCCTAAGCTTGCTTTCGGCTTGCCTTCGGCTTGACTTGGGCTTGCCCGAGGCTTGCCCCGCGCCTACCCTAAGCCTACCCTAGGCTTACCCCACGCTTACCTTACGTCTAACTTGGGCTTACCCGAGGCTTGCCCTGGGGTAAGCCTGGGCTCGCCCTAAGCTTACCCTAGGCTTGCCCTACGCTTACTTTACGCCCGCCCTGGGCTTAACCTAAGCGCGCCATAGGCATGCCCCAAGCCCACTTTAAGCCTACCTTGAACTTACCCTGGGCGTGCCCTAGGCTTGCCCTAGGCCCACCCTAGGCTTACCCTGGGCTTGCCCCAAGCTTGCCTCAAGCTTGCCTGAAGCCTGCCCCAGGCCTACCTTGAGCTTACCCTAGGCTTACCTTAGGCTTGCCTTTCGCTTGCCTTGGGCTTACCCCAGGCCTACCCTGGGCTTACCTTGGGCTTGCCTTGGTGCTACCTTAGGCCTCCCCTCGACTTAATTAACCCTAGGCTTGCCCTGCGCTTACCCTGAGCTTGCCTTTAACCTTCTCTGGGCTTACCTCGGGCTTGCTCTGGGCTTGCCCTGGGCTTGCCCTGGGCCTACCCTAGGCTTACCCTAAGCGTGCCCCAGGCTTGCCCTAAGCCTCCAAGCCTGCCCGAAGCTTACCTGAAGCCGACTTTTGGCTTAACTTGCGCCTGCCCTGGGCTCGCCCTGCGCTTGCAGTAAGCCTGGCCTAGGCCTACCCTAAGCCTACCCTTAGCTTAGCCTGGGCTTGCCTTTTGGCCTGCCCTGCGATTTGCCCTGCGCTCACCCTAGGCGGTGACGGGCCCACGGGGGGCAGGCCCGCCCCCCCCCCCCGAGCGCGGGCTGCATTGAAGGGGCAGGAATGCGGGGAGGCGGGCCCATAGGAATATGCAAGACATGGTGCAGCGGCCAGGTCCCTCGATTAGACTTCGCCTGGCAGGGCGCCTGGCGTGGCTGGGTTCAACTCCGCCCCCCCCCCCCCCCCCACCCCGCGCGGCCCGCTCCACGGGAGGTGGGCCCACTCGCGCGCCTGCTAGGCGCGGGCCCACGGGAGGTGGGCCCGCCCCCACGCCTGCCAGGCGCGGGCCCACGGGAGGTGGGCCCGCCCCCACGCCTGCTAGGCGCGGGCATCCCAGGAGGTGGGCCCGCTCCCACGCCTGCTGGGCGCGGGCCCGCGGGGGGTGGGCCCGCCCCCACGCCTGCTAGGCGCGGGCCCAAGGGAGGTGGGCCCGCCCCCAAGCCTGCTAAGCTTGGGCCCGCGGGAGGTGGGCCCGCTCCCACGCCTGCTAGGTGCGGGCCCGCGGGGGGTGGGCCCGCTCCCACGCCTGCCAGGCGCGGGCCTGCGGGAAGTGGGCCCGCGCCCACGCCTGCTAAGCGCGGGCCCACGGGAGGCGGGCCCGCTCCCAAGCCTGCTGAGCGCGGGCCCGCGGGAGGCGGGCCCGCTCCCACGCCTGCTAAGCTTGGGCCCGCGGGCGGCGGGCCCGCCCCCGCGCCTGCTAGGCGCGGGCCTGCGGGATGCGGGCCCACTCCCACGCTTGCTAGGCGCGGGCCCACGGGAGGTGGGCCCGCGCCCGCGCCTGCTAGGCGCGGGCCCACGGGAGGTGGGCCCGCTCCCGCGCCTGCTAGGCGCGGGCCCGCGGGAGGTGTTCCGCGCCCAAGCCTGCTAAGCGCGGGCCCACGGGGGGTGGGCCCGCTCCCACGCCTGCTGGCGCGCGGGCCCGCGGGAGGTGGGCCCGCTCACGCGCCTGCTAGGCGCGGGCCCGCGGGGGGTGGGCCCGCCCCCACGCCTGCCAAGCGCGGGCCCACGGGCCGCTCCCACGCCTGCTAGGCGCGGGCCCGCGGGCGGCGGGCCCGCTCCCACGCCTGCCAGGCGCGGGCCTGCGGGAGGTGGGCCCGCCCCCGCGCCTGCCAGGCGCGGACCCACGGGAGGTGGGCCCGCTCCCACGCCTGCTGGGCGCGCGCCCACGGGGGGTGGGTCCGAGCACGTGCTTACCCGAAGCTTGCCCCACGCCTACCCCAAGCCTACCCTAGGCTTACCCTACGCCTGCCCTGCGCCTACCCGAGGCTTGCACTAGGGCAAGCCTAGGCTCGCCCTGCCGACCTGGGCGCCGATGAGCGTCACTTTCCCATCAGCCGCTTTGACATTTTGCCTCACTCCCCCCACCGCACCATGCGCAGCCGTGGATACAATCGAATGCACTGGAACTTCCTGAGCGGGCCCGCCCCCGCGCCTGCTAGGCGCGGGCCCACGGAAGGTGGGCCCGCCCCCGCGCCTGCTAAGCGCGGGCCCCGCGGGGGGGTGGGCCCGCTCCCACGCCTGCTAGGCACGGGCCCGCGGGAAGTGGGTCCGCCCCCACGCCTGCCAGGCGCGGGCCTGCGGGAGGTGGGCCCGCGCCCACGCCTGCCAGGCGCGGGCCCACGGGGGGTGGGCCCGCCCCCACGCCTGCTAAGCGCTAGGCGCCCCCGCAGCCTCCAGAGGCTTTCCAGGAGACCCTGAATTGATGGCGCCAGCGAGCTTGGGGCCGCAAGGTCCTTGGCTTCTGGGCACAGCAGGCACAGGCACAGCAGACACAGGCATCTCCTCCCCTCCCCCCGCCTGCCTGAGGCAACGCAGTGAAATGGGAAAGTGCAATAGAATAGGGCGAGCAGACTACGCAATAACCCCCCCTTCCTTGGAAGAATATCGACATCGTAGTCAAATGGGGCATTTCACCTCCCACATTCTGACCTTCTTGGGTTCAATTCCTGGTGGTGCCTGTGGGGCCTACTTGCTGGAGGTTGTCATGGCATTGACAGTGACATTTCAGGGGAAATCACTGTAGAAAGGATTCTGTGCAAGTAAAGCCTTTTTGATCTCTGTAGAGCTTTGCGTACCGAGGAATTCTGGAATTTAGATAAATGAGCGCCGTGTGCGGGGACGCGCTGCGCAGAGGCAAGAAAAATTCGGGGCCCCTGGATGAAACCGAAGGGCCCCCGGAGTATGGGAGATTGCCCCATTTTACTACAATGTCGATATTATTTCAGGGAAGGGGGGGTGTGGGCTTAGTCTGCTCGCCCCGTTCTATTGCATTTTCCCATTTCACTGCGTTGCCTCAGGCAAGCGGGGGGGGGGGGGGAAGCAGAAGCAGCAGCAGCAGGGGCAGCGCCCCCTATTTGTTTTGCATTTTTGTCCTGGTGAGGGCTGCAGCCTCAAGGCCTTGCAGGCACACCAGAGGGTAGCGCGCATCTGCGTCTGACAGGGGGGCCCTGTGCCAGGCGCCCACCTTGCATGGGGGCCCCATTCCTGATGGTGCCTTTGGGGCCTGCTTGGGAGCGCAGGACGGCCCCGCGCACCCCCCGCCCCCTGGGGACAACTGGAGCTTCCTGGGGGCTGGGCTGGCTCTGCTGGGGCGGGGCCTGCGGGGGCTGGGCGCGGCCCTGAGGCAGCTGCGGGGCCACGCATCTGGAAGCGGAAGCGGAGGCAACGCAAAATCCATCGAGCAGCCGGGCTTGTAAGACCACGCCCGGCTTTCATTTGGATGCCTGGGATTCCTGGAATTTCACACCCTGGAGCAAAAGCAACCTTGGGATCCCCACTGTGGCGGACGCGTGCGGGTACCCCCACTAGGGCCTCCGGTTGAGCTCCGTATAAGGCCACGGAACGCTGTGCTGGGCGTGGCGGGCGCATGTGGCCACCCCGTCTGCGGCCTTGTGTGGAGCTCCTTATGGGGCCACGAAGCGCTGTATGTGGCGGCGGCATGTGGCCACCCCCACTGGGGCCTTACGTGGAGCTCCCTATGGGGCCATGAAAAACTGTACTGCGTGTGGCGGACGCATGTGGCCACCCCAACTGGGGCCTCGGGTGGAGCTCCGTATCAGGCCACGGAACGTGTGAGGGGTGTGCCGGCATGGGTGTGGCGGACGCCTGCGGCAACCTCCACTGCGGCCTTCGGCGGAGCTCCCTATGGGGCCACGAAGCGCTGTACTAGGTGTGGCGGATGCATGTGGCCACCCCCACTGGGGCTTTAGGTAGAGCTCCCTATGGGGCCACGAAGCGCTGCACTGGGTGTGGCGGACGTATGTGGCCACCCCCACTGGGGCCTGACGTGGATCTCCGTATGGGGCCACGAAACGCTGTACTGGGTGTGGACGCATGTGGCCACCCCCACTGCGGCCTTACGTGGAGCTCCCTATGGGGCCACAAAACGCCTTACAGGTTGTGGCGGACGCATGCGGGCACCCCCACTGATGATGGCGATGGCGATGGCGATGACGATGGCGATGAAGATGATGATGATGACGATGATGGTGGTGATGGTGATGATGCTGCTGAGATGATGATGATACTGCTGCTGATGGTGATGAAGGCAGGAGGGAGGAGGGGGAGGAAGGAGTGAAGAACGCGGGGCGTTGTCTCTTCAAAACGATGACCTAAAACCACAGGATGGTTGGGAAAAACAAGGGTCGAAGACGGCCACCTTCGATGGCCCATGAAATAGCATAAGACGTCCTATAAGACAAACGTGGAACATGAACGCTGCTTGACGCAAGGTCCGAACGCAATCAAGAAGCCGCCTGTAGTCCACGATATTGCGCAGAAGCGCTTCGCAAGCTATGTAGCACGTGGTACACGCGGTCTGATTGTGTGCAGGTGGTGCAATCGTTGCGCAAATTCGGTGTGGAGGTGGTGCAAAATTTTGGTATACAAGTGGTGTAATCGTGGTGTGAATGTGGCGTAAAGTGGTGAGAAAGTGGTGTACATAGGATGTAAGATAAGTGCGGGTGTTTCGTGTTGTTGAAGTGGTGTCCTCTAGAGCATTCCCTAGCGCGGTTTCCAATCCCAGTGGGCCCCCCAGAACTGCGCTGATTCATTGCAGTCCTAATCCCAAGCGACTCAGCCGCATTCTAGGGGGCGCGGCCGGAATCACCGGGAGGCCCCGGCGCGCGAGAAGTGCGGGCTGGGGTAAATGCGGTGTAAAGGTGGTGCCAAATTGGTGCACAAGTGGTCTAAAAGTGGTGTACAAGTGATTAAACAAATGGTTTTAAAGTGGTGATAATGTGGTAGAAATGTGGTGAAGGTGTGGTGAAAACGCGGCGTCGATGTTGGACGCCACGGCGCGGCGCGCGAAACTGGGCGGAACGGCCTACATAGTCAGAAATTGGCACTGAGGCAAAGTGCGTCGCGGCACGCGTCGCGGCGCGCGGCGCAGCTGGCGGAGAAACACCGCCCCCTCGGACTTACAATTTTCTTTTACGGAGATAAGGAAATGCTCACTAACCGCCCTGTGCTGTGTAACCGAATCGCGCTTACCTGCGTTTTCCCAGGCGCGGCTTCTCGCCCCAGTCAGATCCCAGGCGCGGCCGCCGCCAGTGAGTCTTGGTCAACGCGCCCGCCCGCTCGTTCCTCGCCACTCCGCCGCGGTCATTTACCAAGCCCGCTTCCAACTGTCGCCAGGTGCTGGGCCGGGATGGAGATCTCGACATTCTCCCTCGGGGCAAGTCGGTTATCCAGCAACCCCTACGCGCGCGTGGAATCCGCGATCAACATCGCGATGTGCCGCGAGCTCGCATCGGACGATATGTGGAAACTGGAGATCCGTGATAAACCGTACTAAACCTCAACCTAAAATCTATCGGCCGAAGTGTATGGCGCAACCGGAGTACTCGACAGAGCTCACCGCGGAGGTCGCGATCTGACCGCCGACTGCAGCAACACATCTTTGCTAAACCCCCGACGATGAAGGCGCACCGTGTATCACGTAACCGTCGTTGAGCTGCTCAGGTCTTCCACCTACGCGCTGCTCTTCAAGTGAGGTCGCATTCGCGGCGAATTCGTTTGCAACGCTATCGAATCGTGCTTCGTCTCAGATTATCAGAACTCTTCTCGACTCCGTCTACGCGGGGAACCGTGGCACCATTGGTCGACCCAGAGATGTACCGGGCTAGCGCAAGCCGAGGGGGGTCCGTAGGCGCGGCGACTCCTGACGAGACCGTGAACGGTACTCCAGGCCCCCACATTCGAGTCAGCGGTTTCCCAGGAAGGGCGGCGGAGTCTCCATTTCCCAGGTGTGTAGGGGTGGAGGGACATAACTATGGATCATATACACCAACCCTGGGCCCAGGATCGGCCTGTCCAGGAGCGGCGTAAGTGTGCAATTGTTGCCCTCCGACTCCTCCAGCAGCGCGATGCGCTCGCGGCGGCTCATGGAAGCCACGTCCGCGTCGGAGGGGTATTGAGCAGGGACCGACCGTCCCGGCATTTCTATAGGCCTACCACGACATGTCCTTAGAACAAAAGCCATATTTCTAGAACGTAGGCCCCATGTGTTGGAACAAGACGGCCCCAGCCAGGAATGCTCCGAGAACACCTCGCTGCGACCACAAAAAAGGTTCTCAGAACATCATCTCGTAGGCCTGCAGGCGAGCCAGGACGCTTCGCCACTGCTCGAGGGGTGGCTGTCGGGGCGCGGCGGCGCCCCGGCCGCACCGCGGGGCGGCCTGGCCACCTCGGCGGCCCTCGCCTGCTGCGCGTGGGCGGGTCGCGGGCCGGGCGGCGGCACGGGCACCTGCACGGTGCATAACGATTGGGGGGGGGACTTGCTCGGGGGGGGGGGGGCAACGGCGATGTCGGGGTGTTCTTAGGGTGGAGGGCTCAGGGTGAAGTCCACCCTGGGCTCTTGCACCTCGAAGACCAATCCGTCCTGTGATTTGCCTTCTGCAGACTCAATCCTCGAACATCCACCGAAACGGCATTTCAGATTTTGCCCTGTGCCCTCCACCCAAAGACAATGCTCGGGATGTACCCAGGTCGCCTAAACTCGCACATCGCGCCCCGCGATGCGCGACGCGCGGTTATCTTCGCGCCCTCGCGCCCAGGCACCGTCCCCTTCGAGAAGGGCAACTGGTCTGATCCAGACCGCCGCGAAGCGCCGCTATCGCCATGTCCCTGGGGGGGGATCTAAGATGCATCGCCCACAGGTTGGACGAGACACTCCCGATGCCGAATGCGCACGCGTCCAGGCGGGGTGGGGGATCGGGCCCCCGCCGGCGCTGCATGGGCGAGGGTGGGTGTCGGTGAGTTCCCCCCTCCCTGAGATCCGACGTAGCGAAGAGAGTGCAGCATCGTACACAATCGCGCCCGGAGCCCTGCACCCCATCGTTCTGCGTCGTTCTTCGAGCCGGATCGAGCTGTGAGCGTCCAGGGCCCGAACAACTGCGAAACTGCCCAGGACGAAAGAATTGAGACGCCGGACTCGGAAGCGACGGCTAGGCTGCGTTGGCGTCTCTTTTTGGCTGTGGTCCTTCACCACTTCTTCTGCCTCCGGCCGGTTGTGGCTTCAGGCGACGTCTGGCCGGCTTTTTCAACACCTCTAACTACTTTCTCGGCCTCCGGCCGAAGGCGTCCACGCAAAGGCACCGTGTCGCCAACAACCACAACAACAAGAATTGAGACGCTTGGCGTCTCTTTTTGGCTGTGGTCCTTCACCACTTCTTCTGCCTCCGGCCAGTTGTGGCTTCAGGCGACGTCTGGCCTGCTTTTTCAACACCTCTAACTACTTTCTCGGCCTCCGGCCGAAGGCGTCCACGCAAAGGCACCGTGTCGCCAACAACCACAACAACAAGAATTGAGACGCCAGGATCTCAGGGCTGAGCCAATCTCTCCCTGACGATACCCCGTGGCTTTCGGGCCACAACTCGGCTCTCTGGCGGCCGATCGGGACGATCGGGGCACCCCGGGCACGCTCCTCGGCGAAGCGCAGCCCCCCGAGGCTGGGAAGCCGTCGGGACACGACGAGAACGTTAGAAGCAGACGCCGTCGACCCCAGAATGGGACGCAGAAGGACGTAGTAGTATTATGTTGATCCCAGCGTACTTGAGGACCACATCCTCACAATAATTTCGAGCACCCAGAAAAGTATTGAAACTGTGTCGAACGAGTATCGCCTCGCACGGCCCGACGCGTGGAAACCCTCTAGTCTTGGTACGTTCTTGATGTTCGAGGATGGATCTGTATGGTGATCAAAGCTAAAATAGGTTGGATCATCAAACCCGTAGTACTACACGAGCGTGTCGCGCGAAACACCAGTAGTACGGTCGACCCGTATCATAAGGATGCGCGATAAGGATGCCAGGGCGTGGGACGCCCATTTCGACACTTTCCGAGCGGGGCGCGGCCAACGGAAGTGGCCGAGGGTGCAAGGGTACCCTTGGGAAGGCCACCCTTCCTTACTGCCCGGGTTGACGGCACATCGCTTCCCGATCAGTACATTCTTCGGCCTGACCTAAGGAAGGATAAACAAGGAACGAAGCCCCTTTTTGTTTCAAGTAAGTCTAGGAGGTCCGAAGGAACACCAGAGGGGCTCGCCGCCAAAAAGGTAGCGGAACGCACGCAAGCCACAGGAACGACCGAGCCCCTCTTGAAAAGACATTGTTCCGTATTCGAGCCGGACCCTGTACACGCCGATCGGAAGAAGTAGGCGAAAACATGAAGTAGGAAGGCGGATGAAGTAGATTGGGCCAAGGGCCTCCCAGAGATCAACAAAACGTAGCAAAAGCATGCCGATTCTTGAAGTAGGAAGGCGCTAGAAGTCGATTGGGATCTGGGAATCCAAGAACACCTACTTCCAACGACAGGCGTGCATGCTGTCCAAAGGGCAGCTGCCACGGAGCTCCTGCCGACGAGGCTCCCGAGCGTGCGCGTCGCCGTTTCCGCGGGGCCGACGCGCACGCAGCACACCGGCAGCGCTTGGGCGGGGCCGACGCAGCGCCCCCCCCTCCCGACGTTGCCCCTCCTCCTTGGCCGCCCCTGGGCTCATGTTGTTCCCATCCGACTTAAGGACCACATCCCAGACATAATTTCGAGCACCAGGAAAAATGTCAAAAGAGTGTCGAACCAGTGATGGGCGAGTGTCTCCCCAGGGCCCGACACGTGAAAATCCTTGAGTATCGGTACTCTTTTGGGCGCTCGAAATTCTTCCTGGTGATCAAGGCCAAAGTAGATTGGAGCATCATAGCCCTGGGCCCAGCCACTCCCCCGGAGCGGTGCCCCCGAGCGCGGCGGCGAGCGACGGGGGTGAAAGTGCGAAGGGGAAGGCCTTCTCCGGAGGCTCGGAAGTCCCCCGGCCTGCTGAGAAGTTTTCTGAACCTTCCCCGAAGACAAACAACAAAACAAGACAAAACAAACCTCCCAGAAGGCGCGAGGGCTTCTGAGGAGTCCCGCCGCCTGGTGAGAAGGCCTTCTCCTCCTCAACTCCCCCCCTCCCTCGCCACCGAAGTGCCCCTCGGCACCCTGCCCGCCGCGCCGCCCTCTGCGGCGTCGGGGCTGTCGGCGCCAGGCCTCGAGAAGCGGCGCCGCGGGGGGCCTGGGGCGGAGGGGTCGCCGAGAGGCTGCCGCCCCCCCCACCCTCGAGCTGAGACGCAGGACCGGTCCGATCCATGTCGATCGCCGATCCGACTTGTCGATTCGATTTTGGGCTCACGGGGAAGGGAGAGGGGGAGGGGGAGAAAGCTAGGTGCGCTCGCGTCTTATCTGACGTCCTACCCCTCCCTCCCATCCTTTTACCATCGCGTAGATCTCCTGTCTATTCGCACAGTCCGGTGTCGAGCAAGGCAATGATCGCGAGAGGGTGCGCGACGCATGGTATAGCACGGCATGGCATGGCGTAGAAAACACGGCAGAGCGCAGCATGCCATAGCATGGCCTGGCATGGCGGCGGGTTCCTCGAATGGTAAGTGGATCGGATTCGAGAGGTCTGGGCTGGTCTGGAATCGTGCCTCCATGTCTCGCTCCTTGCTCTCCCCGAACAGCTCCACATTCGGTGGCTGATGGAGACCACCCGCTGGCTTTGCTTCCAACATCGCCGTTCCATCGCTGAAACCGGGCTCCCGCTTGTTACTTCCTGAACCCGACGACGCCCCAAAGTGGTGGGCCCCCAAAAAAACAACGAATCGACAACGAATGTGTAATCACTTCCGATGGTTTTTGTTGGGGGTCATTTTCTAGATTTGGGTGCCTGGGGGGGGAGAGGGAAAGAGAAGGGGGAGGGGGAAAGATGGAAAAGAGGGAGGGGGAGGGGGACTTGCCCCAGGGAGAAGTGGAAGGGGGAAAGAGGGCGGGAAAAGGGATGGCACGGAGGGGAGACCAGCCGCTAGTCAAGGCGAGAGTCTCTGACTAGGACGCCATCGTCCTTCCTCTCACGAGCGGCGAACATGTCCGTATCCGCGCCATGGCGGTCTGGATTACGGGACGCGATCCCGCGGACACGCGGTCGCACGGATACGTTCCACGCAGAACTTTCGAAAAACAGCGCCCCGTATCCGCGGAGTCGCGGACCAGGGGCCCGGCCCGCCAGACCGCCGATTCGGATAAATCTTTCGCCCGCGAGTGACAAAGCGGGGATCTCTGAGATCTTATATTGGGCGGGCCATTCCAGAGCGCTCTGAAAGCGTAGCGTTCCGCCCCGCCCGGCGAGGGCGGGCGGGCGAAGAAGGATCGGGCGGGCCCTGGCCTGGCCAGGAGGTTGTTTGAGCACCAGGAGCCGAGCAACGCCTTTGCCTCTCCCTGTCTGGCCTGGCGAAGGAGGCTGTCTGGCTGCTTCGAAGTCCTCAATCGAGCACAGACCGCCCTGCCCATTCGCCCATCCCGACCGTCCTCCCCCCCACCCACGCGTGCCACGCGCGCGGAACCTCCCCGCGCCCGCGAGGGACGCTCCCCCCCACCCCATCTCCCCGCGCGAGCCCCCCACATCCGAAGTCTGCTTGGTTTGTTGTGTACACCGGGAGGGCGCAGTCTTTTCCTGCGGACGCCACATCTTTGAACAAGCCCCGAAGCCTGGAGCGCAGGGACCCCCCCCCAGCGAGCGAGCGGAGCGAGCCACACGAGCAGGCCCGTAGGCTGCTGGGCCCCTGTGCCTCCGGCGTGGGGGAACAGCCAACCTACCAGCCCAGGGATGAGCGCACCCAGACATCCGATGTCTTGCTGCGTCCAGTACGAAGTTCAGAGGATGCCCCGACCCGTTTCCCAGGGCCAGCGTTCCATCCCGAGTCGTTGCTTGAAGGCCCTGGGGCCTCGTGAGGGCCCCCCAAAGGCCGCAAACGGCCGAGAGTCGACCGCCGTGACTTTTTGCCCACGGCGTGAGCACGCGGGCAGGGTACCATTCCAAGAAAAGGAGAACGTGTCTCGGCTACGTTCTTGTTTTAGTAGGGACCGATAGCCCCGCCATTCCTATAGGCTTACGTACCACGACATGTTCGAATACTGCGAGAATGTTCCAATGACAAAAACAACTACTAGAACAAGACGGTCTCAACCAGAAATGCCCTAGAAGCATCTCGTGCAAACCACAAAAAGAGCTCAGAACATGTTTTGGTGGGCCTATGGGCAAGCCAGGGCGCCTCGCCACTACTTATAGGGGACAAAAGACAGTGACACCGCTCTTCCCCGGGCCTCTCCCAAAATGCGTTCTGACCAGAATTTCGCGACGAATCCAGCGGTGGCGATGGGGGCCTCGAGAAAA